TATTCACAATGCATTTCACCATGAGGATGCAACTTCAATTGTGAGATGTATAGCCAAAAACTAAATCCAATATCAGGTGCTGACTAGAAGGTGGCCCATGGCCCTCATTCATGGCTAATGGCTGATTCTTAGATGGCTGACTCTCTAACAACGGTGAAATGGAAAAGCAACCATAGGGTAAACCGACCGTTTTAGGGTCGGACTTTATTTAGCAGTACCACAATTGGCAGCTCTTGTGTAAATTTGTATGGAATTAGTCTCCTTAACTACGCAACAATCATGTATTTATGTAGCGTCCTGAGACTCCCTGAAGACGAAAAAAGACAAAATACTCGGGCAGAATATATATATATATATATTCAGCACGGAGAAGGTGTCTGAGCTATTGGCATGGCTTAAAAGGCCAGCCCACCCAGCGAGGTACAAGGGGACTAATTCAAAGTACAAAAGTGGCGCTTCACCAAAACCGAGGGATAAACCACTATCGTATTACATTTAACTCCCTCTGTCTCCTACAAAGTCTCCTCGGTTTCCAAGACTTCAACCATCATCGTTGTGTCGCAAACATTCACCCATCCCTATACCCTCTGAGCTCTACCATTTATTAATAGCAGACACCCCTTACTAACACATTTTACAGGTCTGTAGAAATGACTCGGAGTACCACTGATTAACTTACAAAGCGGACCCTTCAGCATTCGCAAGTTTCGATCTTGATGAAGTGAATATGATTTGACAATAAAGCTGGTGCAGAAAATCACCCAAAAGTTCACCAAAAAATGATTGGTTAAAAAATATTTTATGCCGCTGTAAATTGATGTTAAAAATGCAGAAATCCGGGAAGTTTTTTGTGTTAGAAATACGACACCCCATAAATCAGTAATTGCATGAATGGCCCCCCACTATGGTGCACATTACAAGACATACGGTACGGATAGGGATAAAAGGCCGAGAACGGTACACATATACACATATACACATAAACTCCTCTAAATAATGGCTTGCATTTATTAGCTCATATGGGCTTTTCAAGTTCAATTTAACAACCAATTATTTCAAAGGCTAATGGCCAGGTATGTGCCCTTTTTCAATATTCTGCGTTGGTCCGATGACTTGTTGTTCAGATGGCTTCGTTCAAGGGGATCCTAAATAGCATACTACGAGTTAGTTACTTTTTATCAAGCACAACTTTTTAAGCGTCGACAAAGATCTGTATCAGAAACGCTTGAGGACATCGACTCAGTAAATGTGCCTTAGTATTCTTACAGGTGTGATAGAACATTGCAATTCTTGAAGAACTCAAGGCATCGAAAGTTTTGAGCGCAAATAGAGTTGCCTTCCACCTTATATTTTATGCATCAATCCTCTACATCACAGTTGTGGTTATTTCATATTTTCTTGTCCGACCATCTGGAACTCAAGGAAAAGTTGTATTTACCATATTTATTGTTTTATATCCATTTATGTAAGTCCTCTACATTCCGATGCCTTACTTTAGAGTATGGCTGTTGAAATATTTGGTCAATCTATGGTATTTGGGGAGTGCAGATCGCGCAGGCATGTTATGATTTTCTACATTTTACCTGAATAGATCGCAAATTGAAATCTCTCATAAAACAGAAACGACTAATTGTGGGTGATGCCGCTTTCATTGAAACAACATTTTAGTTGGAAGACGTGATGAGCAAGGAGACATACAATAAAACTCAACAGCTACTGAGGCGCTTTGATCCACTAGGACTTATCGTACGTGACCATTTTGTGAGTCGCTTTTTTGCCTAGATATTAGATCTTTAGACTCAACAGGATGCAAGAATCGCCAGCCTTGAAGCAGAAACAACGGCGAAGTTGCGTTCCGACCCCGGCAATTTAACCGCCCAAAACACACTCAAAACCATACAGAGTGAGGCGCTTTTATTTTCTACCTTTTGTTATCTTACACCAAATTATAAAAGCGCTATCTCGCACCTTTAAAGTTTCCTCTACTCGCTTTCATTTACGATTCCACTGTTACCGTACGGTTTTTGGCATTGTTCCATTGATGGCAAACTTCCTCATCTTGCTCAACAGTCAAAAACAGCCTAGGTGGCCGCTGCTTTTGTGATAGCGTCTTGTTTGTACACATTCCCTTACCTTGACCTTGATTTTCTCCCAACGCTTAACTTTAAAAACTTGGTTTTTCCTCATTAAAAATAAATAGTGGATACTTTTCAGCCGGGATGCAAACTCCACAGTTCTCGAAACCTCCACTTGCCGTGGAGCCGACGACGACGCAGCCTGTTAAGGGCCCAATCACTCATCGCCCTATCCTTCCACGCCACCGATCGATACTCGATATCGTGTTTGACGCTCTCGTCGGTGACGGACCTGATCGTCGTTACGCTCTGATCTGCCAACAATGTTCCGGCCATAATGGAATGGCTCTTGCGGAGGAATTTGAATACATAGGTATCTGTTATTTCTTCTTTATTTTTGTACCTTTTCATACTTCTGTTCCCCTGAAACTTTTTCGTTAGTCTTGCATCAAGCCAAACCCACGCCTCTCACCCCGTTGCAACGTCTTTCGAGTCCCGATTACTCACCTTCATTTAGCTCGGAGCGTTTTGTCTGATATTTTGCAAATGCTTACCTTTCTGAGAAGATTATTCTCTGATCTTTCAAATCTTTTTTTTTCGTGTCCTCACCCTTTGTTGCTGAAGTATCCTCATAGTTGAAGTCACGAAATTCAAGTGCCTGGAGGGTCATGGGAACCGTTGTCGATATGCACTTTTGACAACTGCTAAGAGGTGTTGTGTTCATGCGCTGATCGCAGGTCTCGTAGACTTTCCTTAGGCTTGTGTTTTTTATGATTTTTTAACAGCATTATACCTCATTGCGTACTCATTTATACTTTGTACGCAATGTTCATAATTAACAGTTTAATCGGGTGCACTGGATGTCTGTGCAAGATGTTGAAAGCAATTAACTAAATTCCCAACTAGAGTCTAACTTCTGCCTCCTCATTTTCGTTGCGATTTGGCAAAACGGTTCACATAAAGGTACGTATTTGTGTATGTACGTGTGCCTGCATGTCTACTTCTTCCTTTCCTGATGAGCATGGCCGACCGTTGACTATGAACCTTGGTGTGAGAGCGTACCGCAGCTTTTAAAGCCCCATTATATTATTCGCACCTGTTTTACCGATTTTGTTTTATGGATCCTCTCTGTCACAACCGGTCATAGTCTGTGACCTACGTTGTGATGTTTTGTGGGGATATTTACCGGTAGGGTCAGAGGTTAGGCTGAGATGTCTGCCCTATGTACATTTCGACATCTCAACTCTCAATTGACAATTACATGCATCTGTGCCACTGATTCTGACTCAGACCTATGTGCAGTAAATCACTTTCCGCACTGAAGGTTGTCTAGTTTGATGCCCATGAGCTTATCAGTAGCCTTGTGAACATCTTTAATTTTGGGCTTGGAGCTTTATGCAAAAAATTGCATTAGAAGTGATCACCGGCGAAGGCATTCAAAGTGGGGGCGTAGGTTTAACAACTTATGGACGTATTTTAAACAAAAGGTACCATGGACTGTTTGTGCTGGCCGGTGCCGTGATCACGGCTCTGTGCTATCGACAGGTGAACCCTTTCAAGTGCGTGTCTTGCCATTGAAGACTTCCTTTAGCGTAAGAGGTTTACTGAGCGGGACTCAGCATTCCTATAGGTGCGTTCGAAGCAATGCCAGGTCATGGGGAGAACCCCTTTGTATTTCCATGATGGGAAGTCAATGCCATTAGCCGATTGTTGGTTGGGCCTATCAGGCTAACTGTCTTGCCAACAGACAGCTCGGGGGATTGGTCTATGTGAACCACTTCGAAACACGCCTAGATGCGAACAGGTTTTGTCAGTTTCGTCTTCTTGTCTGGTTCGACCAGCTTAGCGGTGATACAATAGGTAGGGGACGTATTAGCGCGGACATACATAGTCCATATTTAAGTGTGATAGTTCCCTTTTTTGATGAGTTTTTGTCCTCTGATGCCATTGTACTGAATCGGGCCTGACTTTGAATGCCCCTGGGATTTGCTGTCGTTGGAGAGTATTATCACACTTTTACAACGGTTATCGGTACTCCGAATAGAAAATGGTAATTATTTTTCTCCGCACTCAAATGCCTTATTTCTACCGACATGATTCCCTACCATCCCTTCTGATGTGCAATATTGAAACAAGTTTTCCATTTCCTCTTGTAGGTGCTATCTAGCAGTTTTCGGGCTAATGTTGTCCGTAACTTTTCTTAAAACCAGCGGGCAAGGGGATACGTAATATGCCCATACCATCATTCAGTTTCAGGGTAGCTTTAATGGCGATGGCGCAGGCATTGAGGCATGGGGAACTTATTAGTACAAAACGGTTTACCTCCGATGTTATAACCTTTTTTAATTAGGAAAATCGGAGTTAAAGGGGTTGTTATCCAATGCCGCCATTGTAGTAGGTCGAAGATCTTTCCGAGTGTCCTTTCACCTAAGGGTAACTCCATCAATTCACAACTTCCACTGATGTCTGTACGAGGTCGATGAAAGGGAGCATTTTACAGACGATCACACAACCAGGCTCTCTAAATTGATTTCCTTGCTTGGCAACGTGTCATATTAAGGCGGGTATATTATTTTGTGGATAAAATCTCTTTAAATAAATGACGTTTACTTCATTTACTTAAATATAATTGATAATTCATGGCATAAGTAGCTGATTTGTCTCCATGGTGTACTTATTTGTGAGTAAGCCAATTATCCGCGCACGAACTAACTTCCACCGCATAACAATACTTTGATGGAATTCCATCGAACTAATTTCCTACTCCTGGATATCCAGTACTTATGAAAAACTTCCTGTTGCAGCTTTTCGATGTTGCTATTGCGGATTCCACAATCCTGCACGCCGGACCCGTCGTCCATTGTCAGGCGTGCCTCCGATGGGCCCCTTTCCCTCCGGCCCCGACTCTCCGTCGGCCATGACGACGCCACTCCCATCACTTTCCGAGCGCCGCCAACAGAGTAATTCGGCTCTCAATCTCACCTCCGTCGGCCGTCTCCAGCTCTCGCCCATCTCTGCCTCTACGGAGACTGTGTTCACAGAACCACTGCAGCTGCGTCCATCGCGGAGGCCGCGGCGGGGGCAACAGCTTCCCAAGCTACGCTCTGAGCTGCATTCCTCCCCCTCCGTCGTGGATCTTCCTGGGGGGGAAAGCAAAGGGGACGTTAAAAAAACGGATTAGAAATGGTACTATTTCATAGGACAGATTATATACATTTTTGTGTTGCCATTTTGTTTTGGAGTTTTGTCATTCTTCGGGAGAAGGCGTTGCGTCGATAGGCAAATTGCACCAACTTTTGGTCTTTCTTTCCTCTATCATTAGCTACTTAAGAAAGGAACGGAAATAAGAATCCATCGGGTTGGGAAAAAGGAGAAAAGTTAGTACAGATTAAAGAGTATTGTTGTGGAAGTAGGAATAAGGTCGTGAGGTTCTATGTCAGGCAAGTGAGTACGGCATTAGCAAATGAGCTCAGAGGGTGCAGGAGAATGACCATAGTTCCCCGGATCTCGTGCCCGAAGTAATTTGGTCTCGTGGTGCTATTTTTCTTGGTCTCACAAGCTCTTATCGGCAATGCTATTGAGCAGGGGGATCGCGTAGGGAGAGGGGAGACGCTGTACTTGCGATGAATGGTTGTGTGTTTTTGATCAAGTCTCTTCATGCTGTTTCTCTGTAAGAAAAGCTAGTAATCACTTAACTGAAGTCGCTGATACTCTGCCACAGAAGCAATAGCTTACCGCGAATCCCACTCTTCTCAAACCCATCGCCGTGAAAGAAACATATAATTGTCTTACACGAATGTCAAGAAGAGGTGACAGCCACTTCAGGCTTGCGACAGATTTAGGAGAGCACACTCGATGATGTTGACGATGATGAGGCGAAGCCAGCGATGGAGGCGGAGAATGGGGTGATATCTCCCCATCGTTAACTATATTGATGAGGATCGGGAATTAATTGAATGAAAAAAAATTATCATTGAAATGACTTATTAGTTAAGTGTAGTAAGGATAGTCAACACTACATCTCTTCCTTTTACCACGTTTTGCTTTTGCCTTAAGGCCAAATGCATCTGACACGAATCTAGTTAGAACGCTGACAAACATAGTTCAGTCGGACATTCCTTCTCAACAATTTCACTAATAAGGGGATAAAGGAAGCGTTGATTACTGCCCACTTCCCAGATAGCACTCCTGTTCACTTCAATGTCTAATCCTCAAACATTCTTGAACGCCACGTTCCCACTCACTTCCTCCTGGTTGGCCAACAGAGACACTTTAGGTGCGCAAATCATCACTATAAGGTCAAATGTTTTACGTACGCAACATGGCGTCTTCACCCGGCCGGCCCGTTGTCGTATGCGCGACCGCCATATTCCTTCGCTCACTTGAACACGTCGGCAAATGGAGACACGTGTGCCACAGTAGTCGTCTGTTTATTGCTCTGATAGGGAACTCGAAAGGGTCCAGGCTTAAGAACATAAACACCAGCGTATAACAGAAGTAAACATTCATCTGCAGGAACTAGTAAACTCAGCACTGAATAACGACAGGGAAGTAGGACTGGGAAGTTGGGGTGAGCCGAAATCAAAAAAGTGAAAGACTGGATGCTAAGCTTAGAAGGGAATGTTTAATGGTAAAAGGTCCGAGCGTACCGTGTGGTAAATTGCAGTTGCTACCCCCCTCCATTGAGTCTATCTGGCATGGACACTCTAGAGGTTGAAACAAGTAGGCTGTGCTAACATGATTAAAAGGAAGGATTCGAGAGTGACTACGTCAGGTAGATTACTTCGCGAGACCTACAATGGTAACCGATGTGATAAGTTAAATTATAAAGCATTCCTTGTGACTGCTTTGTCAAGCGGAGATGATGCAAGTTGACATCATTAGATCGACAATTCTGTATGCGCGTCACACGTATACATTTACGGGTGGATGTTTTCAAGGCTAGCCAGATTTAAGAGCAAAAATGAAAACGGTGTAATGCTTAAATGAATTATAAGGAGAAATCAGAAATCTGGGGCACTGAGCGTTTGGGGAACCCGCATTCTAGCGGGTAGTTACTTGTAGCTCGGTAGGTCTCACTGTGTCCACATTCACTGCGATTCACCTATGTTTTAAGGGGAGCTGCGTCTTTTTAAGTACAAAAGCGATTTATTGGTTCTTAAAATGAAAGCTGCGAGGCTTTCAAACTGTCGTGCAATTTCATAAAAGGAATGCTAATGGTTGGCTTATGCTGAATGCATGGAGGTAGTCGACATTACTTCCAGGTGAAAATGCATTTCCGAAAATTTCATCAACCAAGAGGAATATGCAGTGTGAAATACTGCCAAATCCAAACTTCTTTATGTGCAAAACAAGTGTTGGCAACCGTGTCGACGAAGAAAAGTGAATAAGGAGCCTGAATGATCCAAAAAGGAGCATTGAGGAGTAAACAACGAACATTGTTGAAGGTGCCCTGTATCTAGGGGCAATTACATCGAAGGAAATCGAAATGAACCCAGCCTGATGGATTCAGGTCAGAATAACAAGTCGACTCTGCTTCACGCATCTTCTCCATTCTTGGAGACATCAATTTACAAACACCAGAGCATCTTTCCCTCCATGCTCACCTACTGTTTCAATCTTGAATAAACATTTACCATTGGATCGTCGTTCCTTTTTTCAATTCTGTTGTCTTTAAAGGCCTGTGTCAAGCCATACCGAAATCTTAATTTGCTGCTTTGTTGACTTGCTTCCGGTGTTTATACGTGGATTCCAAAACCTCTTGAATGGGAGAGGGATTTGGTTGACATCCCCACGTGAATTCAATGACAATCGCCTTGTTAGCTTAGCAGTTTTAAACAGTTTTATTGCTTTATTTGACCTCTCGCAAAAGGCGCACTAGGCCATGAGATGCAAATGGCTTCCCCAAGTGCCCGACTTGTTGGATTTACTGCTTCGTTTACAATTTGAAACTGATTGGCTACGCCACTTAAAGAACCAGGAAGCTGGTTGTGATGGGGAAAAATCCCCGTAATCTTGACCTCTTTTTTAATGCTTTCAAATTTATGCCAGTATTTTAACTGATTTGTTCCTTGAACAATCCTTGCCTTCTAAGAATTCGCTTTAAAGATTTATTGGTTGTTCAATCCTTAGACTAATGAGGAAGGCCCCTGAGAGGTTAAGATTTCGTTCCACTGTTATTCGAATAAACCAAGACGAATGCATATTCGAAGGGGTGGAGTAGTCGTGCACACGTGCCATCTGATCGGTGCACGAGTCTCCCGCCTGACAATAGTCATACCCGATCGTTTTTGCATTACCTCCAGAAAGACCTCGTTCAAGCATATGAGTCTAGGTTCGATGGCCAGTCTCTTTCAGTGATTCCCTCTTGAAAGACATCATGAGTCAAGAATCAGCTCTAGGACATTAATTTCTGTGCACTTTCTGACCATCAATCTTATTTTAATATTATCTAAATGATGGAGCAATTCAATAATAGGCTCCTGGTTTATTCGACACCATACGTATTGTTAAATTCCGGTTGTTCAGCAGCAAGTTAAGACTTCCTTGAAGATGCGGGAAATGTATTGGGAGAAGGGGAACTTACTGCCGTCACGTATGTTCGTCGCTAGTGGCAAGAACACTAGCCTAAGGGGTGAGGATTAAAACAATTTCGCTGAAATATGGTTGTCCTATATGCCTCCTTACCACTTTGTTCCCACTTCAGTGCTGCCCAGCCATGTCGATCTGGATTTTAGCCAATTAGTGGAGGGGTCACGTGTTTACTTCTTTTACATCTCCAAGCTGGCTCCGAAAACAGCTCTGTGACGAACTTTTCTAGATGGTTCATGGCCACGGATAGTGTCACCCCAGTTGTAAATAACATTCCTGCGGAACACGACACTAAGGTAGTTACTGTAGGTAGATGTCATCTTCAACCGTTCTATTAGGGGTCGTCGCAGATTACCCCATTCGCGGCGTATGCCCTTCTTCCGTCAGGTTAGGGTTTTTCATCCAGCAGTTGAAATCAGGGTGGTTGTCCTTTGAATTCGAGTTCGATTTCTGGTACTACTAATGCAGCACCCCAAGATTCCCCTGGTATAAAGCTTAAGCAGAATATGAAATGTCGACTTACAGAGGGACTGGGGGCTACTAGCATGGTCTCGAGGCCATTTCTTTGGGGGGAAGTACAATGACAGGTGTCCGCGTAGCCAAAACAATTTCTCAAACAACCCATGCATTATAATTCAAAGATGACTGCGCCGTGAAAGTACCTCAAATGCGTCAGGAAGAGCTCAGTCCATTTGTCACAGCACCCTTTATCACTTACACTTATTTGCCAGCTAGACCACGGCTTTAATCTCCTCAAGCACACGAGAGTGTGCGCAGAATCCGTTGGTCTCCAGTGCCATAAAACACAGACAATGAATCACTTTCGGGGGGGGTCACTGGCGCAGAGTCTGTTGGTGCTAGGCCACGCCTACGACGCAAGCCAAGAGCTGTGAGCACTCCACTGACACCCACTAGTACGGTTACTGTAGTAACTGTTTGTCAATAACAACTCTTTATAGGTAGGATGTGAGTGAAAAGACAGTGAAAGTGAAATCCGGTCTCAGGTCTCATCTAATTGCATGCATACACCTACTTCGACATGGATACGAATATCAAGTTCGACTCTGTTCTATGATTTGAGGACATTTTCCTCAGTTATTGAATTTTTAAGACGATCATTACCGGTGCGACTCACCATCATGGGATTGGACCCTTTGGCCTTTCCATTACTAGCTGACAACACCCGTCTTCACATGTAAAAAATTGAGTCAAAACAATTTGTATCTTTAATTGATTCTAATTATTATTTTTTCTTCCATGGAACATCATCTAGAGCAGATTCGGTCGAAGTCTCTTAAAGGGTTAAATTAATGCAACTGAACTTTGCAGCATGCCCACAATCAGAACCACGTTTGTATGTGGATTTGTAGTGGCATTGTTTCTTGTCAGGCAGTCACCAACAAATCACTAGGTTTGAATAATTTTAACATATGGAGAATATAAATATTGTGTTTTCCACGAGCGTATACGATGCATTGGTTGTTTGCTGGACTTTTGGTTTTGGTAAGGGCCCACTTCGGAGCTGCGCCTATGGCCTGGCTTCCCGAGGCCTACTGTACGTCGGCAATGCATAATCTGTCTGGATATCTTGCCTTCGTCTTCACAAAAGCCTAGGTGCGCTAAACCAAATTTTGTAGCGGAGGGACTTTGAAAGGGTGCAGATATAATCACTGCAAGGATGCGTATTTTATGCCCACGAAGGAAGGAATGCGATGATCACACCGTGGCACAATGTTGGAAATGCGGGTCGAGCCAAATCTATTTAAAAAAGTTAAAAGGGAAATTAACAGAACACATAAAGGTCCGCATAAAGCGAGAGTGGGAATAAGGCAAAATCGTAGCGATGATGATGAACCAATGAAGAGGCCCTCTGGAAATCATATTCCGCTTATTTTATAACCTCGATTGCCCTACGTACGTGCGGTCCAGATCCCATTAAACACCCAACCAGATAAGCGATGAATAAAGACGTCGAGGTAGACGTCTTTACAATTCGACGTTGAGTATGTGAGCACCAAGATACGACTTGCATGCATAAGTCTGGATTGCGCTGGCTCATTTGTCGTAATGAAGGTGAGCATGGACTTTCTTATCAACGAAGGCCCCTCTAACATGGCCGACATAGGTAAAATGATATTCCTTTTGGACTTAATGAAGCGTAGTCACCTAGCCTTACTATGCTGTTAAAAGTATTCTTGGGGTTTGGATGTTTTAGAAGGAACTTACACAGTGCTGTCTGCCGCACTTCTTCCCGTACTTCTGAGTCGGCTAAGGTTTCATCCATCTAATGAGCAAACTTGCTATAACCTTTCATCATTTGTCTTGAAAGGTTAAAATTTTGACGCTTTCACTAACTGGCACACTATAGTGCTTCCTACCGCAGAGTCCTGAGTCTTCGCTAAATTCATAATAGCTCAAAATAGCATGTAAGAACATGGGCAAATGGCCACAGAAGCGTTGAGAGGATACTATTGTTACCCTTCAGCCGCATCACAGAGGAAGTACAACTTACATATAATGAAGTACCAAATTAATTAAACGTACAGTTAAAAAAATGTCAAATCAAAACATAAATGATTGCCGAGCGCCTGAACATCTGGCAGTGTGTGCAAAGAATTTACTTATCAAATCATACTACCCTAATGCTTTGGATGCCAAACTCGGCATTTGATCGCGCCGACACTTAAGTCTCCACAGATTGCACTTCCACTTGGTGGCATAGACTCCGGGCCATGCCAGTAGCTTCAGCTCTTCTGTACGTGGGTAATGTTGATTCTGCCTTTCTACGTCAAGAAAATGGCGGCAGGATTCTGATTCTAAAGAACAGTTCCCTCGAGTTCTATTACTGAATTTCAAGCCGTAACGTGACAGAAGATGGGCATCTGCCGCCGATGAGAGTGGTAGTGGAGACGTAAACAGGGGGGTTGGAATTGACGTCGACATTCGGCAACTACCTTAGTCCTCTGTTCCATAAAAATGCTACTAACAACTGAAACGACACTAGCCGTGGCTGTAAGCCAGTCAAAATTTCGTTACGTAGCAGTCTTTGATACCTGAATGAAGAAAGCCCAGGTAGATATAGGGCTGGTCAACACTGAAATGGGACCAAACTGTCAAAGAAGAATAGATGTAAAACTATTTTGAACGTCGTCCTTTACCAAATGACTCAATTTTAGGTCAATATGCTCACGACTTTGCTGCATAGCACCATATAGTCTCCAGCAGTAGGAGGACAGTGCATTGCCCCATTTTCCAAACAGGACGAGACTCTAGATCTAGTAGAATTGCCAATGTGTACCAGTGAATTTGTTGGAATCAAGCGTTTTCTCAGATGCACGCAAATTCGACCACTGGCACGGCTGGTTTATTTCCTACTTTTCTTGAGTGCCGATTACGTCACAAAATACGCTGCAATGGCAGACGCGGGAGGTTGACGAAGGTGGGCGTCGGGGAAGACGCTCAAAAGAGGAGAGGGGCTGCTGTAATGCTTTGATAGTTGACATAAGTTAAATATTGTTTATACCTCCGAGTAAGACTAGAGATACTACAGTGTTCAACTTGTTGTAGGAGAAGTTGGACATTTTGTATTTATTTCCTAATTTTATGGAGACGTGCCTATAAGCGGGGTTTGTGAAATGCACCCTTGGGGAATGGGGTACTTTTTTTGCAAATATCAACAAAACAATAGATTTACATAGTGAAAACTTTACCATTCTATCGATCTAACAGCAAATTACATGCAAGAATTGCACATTAACGTCTAAAATCATAAAGCCAACAAAACTAAACAAATAGTTGAGGCCACGATTACCTATTTGACAAAGCCTTTTGGTAGTTTTAAGTGTAGAAATTTTGATAATGAGTTGATTGAGCAGGCGCAGTGTCAATTTCAGACAATTATAGGATGCAATGAACTGTTTTAGTCACCACAGTATTCTGGCGCCTCATGTTTGTTTCGGTTATGGGGAGGTGAGTTTTTGTATGGTGTGTGTTTGTACTCGATATTCTGTTTAATGGATACTTTGAATGTTTATTTGGGGTTAAAAAACAATGATTTTCTCACAGGTGGATACTTGTTTCCATCAATAGCGACGAAGTCCCATGGATACCCTCAAAAATGATCGGCTGATCGATCGATGTAAGGTTCCAATTATGCTATCATTTTAGGAACTGGCGGAAGACTTGGACACAGGTTTATATGAAAGGGATTTTAAAGCACTAACCATTGTTGTACCCAATATCTGTCTAAAATACATTATTTTTGATGTGATGCCGTGGTTCAGTAAAACATCTAATTTCTATCATCTTGATCTGTTTTAGACACGACCGATCACCGTATCGTTCATCTCGGAGACATCGCTCTCGCAGTTCTAGTCGTCACCGGCATCACAGGCGTCACAGACGTGATCGCTCGCGTTCTCGCTCGCCCAGGGATTATCGCCACCATCGTAGCTCAGTCCTCGCTAGCTCTTCGTCCAGTTCGCTCGGTTCTCTGCTGGCAGCAAATTCCTTACAAAAAGATGGTACCCCTTCAAGAAGCGAACGTGTCTCCTCCGTCGCCTTGGAGGCTCTGTCCAAAATAAAAGCTGCGCAAAACAGGGGGGCTGATGAGTCTAGTTCTGGTGTTTCAGGTCTTGAGGGTGCGCTCATCATCGACAGTACGTTGGATAAGGACGCTGAACAGAAGCGTCTTGAGTTGGAGATGCAAAAAGTTCGTTCTAGCCCCTTACTGAATATATTACTGTTTAAATAGCGTACGTGATTTGAAAGGAAGTCGTCTCTCTTTCAGCGTCGTGAGCGTGTTGAAAGGGAACGACGTGAAAAACGCTTGAAGCAAGATGTGGTGACAGCCCACAGCAAGCTTCTTGACGGCATCAAGATGCGTTCACTGAAGAAGTGGTCCCTGGAGGATGATGATGATGACGATGTGCCACCTCCTACAGTGATTAAGGAAGATACCTTGGTAAAAGAGGAGGAGGATGAGGTCGATCCTCTCGATGCTTACATGCAGGTCTGTGTCGTCATTACTCTCTTCACATACTTATTGGCTTAGAATGTAGCCAATGGCTTAGTTTTCCTTTTTTTGTTTTAGGAAGTCAGTAAGGAGGCCCATCAACAAGTAGATGATACCACTGTTCTTCATCTGGTTCAAACACCTGCTGGTCTCATTCAGGCTCCAGGACTCGTAACAAATCCTCAGTTGGGGCCGGGAAATAACGTTACTACTAAGGATTCCCAGAAAACTCAGAAGAAGGTCGGTAGAGGCGAACTAGTCCTCGATGAGGACGAACAGGATGTTGACATGCCCTATGTAAGCGAAAGCGGATGAATGTTTACTTAATTGGAATAAGTGGTTTATTTTCTAATGAGGTTTCAAACTTTTGCCATGGTATTCGATACCTATAAACCTGCTCCAGCTGAAGTTTGTATTGGTTTTCAGTATCCTGAACCGGAGGAGAGAATTTCCATTGCAGATGCATTGGCACAACTTCAGAAGCGCGAAAAACTTGGGGCGGTGGATCACAGTAAGATCGACTATCAGCCCTTCACAAAGGACTTCTATGTTGAGGTACCCGAAATTGCGAAGATGACGAAGGAGCAGGTGAAGGTCTACCGTCAGCAGTTGGAGAACATCCATGTGAGGGGTAAAGACTGTCCCAAGCCAATCAAAACCTGGGTGCAGGCGGGTGTGTCTGCACGCCTTCTGAACTGTCTGAAGAAGTAAATCAGCTTTATCATCTTATTGCTTAGGATGTGTATAACAGTCTTGGTGGCTTGATGGATAGTTGTAGGTGCTCGAACATTTTGAACGCCCTTAAATCTATTTTAAATGGCAAGTATTACGGTAGGGTCGAAGAGAAGCAAAGGTAGATAATAGATTTATGCGTATTTTCGTGGTATTTTAGAGTTTGAACGACGCTATATAGAACAAAATTCCGGGACCACCTTCTAACCTTAAAAACTGCTAGTTTTTTTAGTAATTTACTGGGTTGAAGCACTGTTGTCTATTTGTGTTTGTGAATTTGTATTTCATCTTATAAATAAGTCGATTAACCGTCCTATAGGTACTTAAGCGGAATATTAAAACCCTAAATATTCCAGGAAAATACACCCTTTTTTGTCAGCCTTCCTTGCCAGGTATATGTTTACTTCGAGCGAAGACCGTACTCGAATGTGTCTGGATATCATGCATGCCTTGGACGCCCGAGAATATTTCGCTTGGTTGCGTAATCGTAACGCCCTTAAATTGATTTCAGGTGATGGGTATCACAGCAGGCTTATCCGAGCAGAAGCAGGAAAAATGTCCGATCCGTTACTTTTTATTAGTAAATGATCTAAGTGAACCACTAAGGTCCTGAAAACAAGACCTCGATGCACTTTTCATTTAAAACCAATATTTTACTTTTGTTAGTTCAAGTAAGAGCTATCTGCATATATACTTTCTGCCTTATCATAAATAGGACTAGGGGCCGCCAATATATGTGGAAATACAGAAATGGTCGTTTAGATTATTTCATTTACTGAGTTGTCGTGCCTTCCAAATTCTCTTAGAAGTTGCCTTTTATGTTGTTACAAAGAATGTAACATAGTACCTCAAAAACACCCCTTAGACTTTTGATACAGCCTAGAGATTTGTTTGCTTATCAGCACTTGTTTGTCATAAATCACACAGACCCCTTACTGTCATTGAATTCTCAGTGTCTGGAAGTCTCGTTCAATCTCTTGTAGCAAGCAGTAGGTCTGTTTTCCATAATTTGTTTTTCTAAGGGCTAATTATTTGCATTTAGTAGATTCTTGCTGTATCATAGCTCAGCCTACAGATTGCCACATATGCACACAGCAGAAGTGTTTAAGTAGCTTGGAGAAATCTAATCATTCATTATTAGCACTTCACATCAAGTGCGCATGTATTACTGACTCGGTATCAGATTGATGGGCACATCAGCGTCTTTTTGCATGATATAGCCCTCATCGCGTACCTTTTCCACTCACTTAAGAGATGAAAGTGTAGACAAACTTACTGAATTGGCCGCGCTCAAGTAACATTTTGGATAGATACCTGGTTTTTTATACACAGCAAATCTATCTGATTTCACTGTGTTTGTGCTAGGAGCGGCTTTGAAAAGCCCACCCCGATTCAGTGCCAATCCTTGCCAGTTATAATGTCTGGTCGGGACATGATAGGCATTGCAAAGACAGGCAGCGGGAAGACACTGGCCTTTCTTGTTCCACTGGCGCGCCACTTGGAACATCAAGCGCCCCTCGAGCCCGGTGATGGCCCCATCGCCCTCCTCCTTACACCCACCCGTGAGCTCGCTCTCCAGATCTACAAGGAGGCCAAGCGGCTGGGTCAGACCTGTGGCTTCCGCTGTGTCTGTGTCTACGGTGGCACAGGTATCTCCGAGCAAATCGCTGATCTGAAACGCGGTGCCGAGGTCATTGTCTGCACACCCGGACGCATGATCGATATGCTCGCTGCCAATGGAGGTATTTTGAAAATTACATCGTTGCGTTTTTCTGCAATTAACAGTTGTCTATTTGGGTACACCTAACATGCTGACGTTAACCATAACTGTATGCATTCATCAGCTTGTTTGTCATGATGAGCTCCGGAACGATTTGCTTAGATGATCTTTAAACAGCTAGTTAAACTGCAGTATCCACCAAGGCGTATGCTTTTCCATATGGGCTGTGCAACCTCAGTTGGTTTAAACTCAAGGCTGATTCATGCATACAAATTCTAGTCTAATCACTGTTTCGGTTTTTGCCCTCGAGTGACGTTGAGATTCACTTTGCTCCCAATAAGGGCCCACTGGTTCTCAAGACCGATGTTATTGAGGATAGTTTTCGTCTGATGAGGTTTACTTCATTCGCACCTTGCTACCTTTCACTTCTCTACTTCTTAACTTTTGGCTTTTAAAATAGAAAACCAGTTGTTTGAATAACACAACCGATGAACTGACGTAAAAATTCCCCTTTTTAACTAAAGCTAAGTAGAGGTGAGCTGGTTTATACATTGGCCTATTTTTTACACTTGACCATTCCAAGTCAGTATTTTGTATGATTTCCAATCTTAAATTCAAACTGCTACGTTGCTTCGTTTGTATTGAAGTCGGCTCGGTCAAAGTTCCGATTTTGTTTCAGTAAATGGTGAGCTCGACCGATTGCCGCATGTGATTGTATGTCGAATGACTAACAATGTATGTAACACAACCCACTTAAGCGGTTCAAGTGCTTTCAAAATCGAAGTTTGTTTGTGGCTTTCTCAAAACGAGTGTTTGAGTGATGATTGCTTTACACGCGCCTGTGTGGGATTTTAGGTCGAGTGACTAATCTTCGACGCACTACTTACGTGGTGTTGGACGAGGCCGACCGCATGTTCGATCTGGGCTTCGAGCCACAGGTGATGCGCATCGTGGACAACTGTCGACCGGACCGCCAGACTGTCATGTTCTCCGCCACCTTTCCCCGTCAAATGGAGGTGCTGGCTCGCAAGGCCCTTACCCTACCCATCGAAGTGCAAGTTGGTGGTCGCTCCGTTGTCTGCTCCGACGTCACTCAGAAAGTTGTAAGTGCCTCTTCTCATTAGCCCATATATATATGCCAGCTGCCTTGTTTTTATGCATATATGTATGTTTACTTGTTTTGTATTGCGCAGGCGGTGTTGCAGACAGAGGAGGAGAAGGTAATGAAGTTGTTGGAGCTGTTGGGTATCTACCAGGAGGAGGGCTCCGTTTTAGTCTTCGTTGAGAAACAGGAAAGTGCGGACGAGTTGATGCGAGTGCTGATGAACTATGGGTACCCCTGTCTCTCGCTGCACGGTGGCATTGATCAGTATGATCGTGACTCTGTGATCACCGACTTTAAGAAAGGTAACATCCGCCTCCTCATTGCTACTTCGGTAGCAGCGCGGGGTCTTGATGTCGCCGACCTGGTGCTTGTGGTCAACTACGACTGTCCCAACCACTATGAGGACTATGTCCATCGCTGCGGGTATTTTCCCCATTCAAATGCGATTTACAATAAATTCCGTCACATTTTAAAGTTGGTTAAATTTTTCGGGGCTACAAGTAATTAACTCGTTGTCAGCGTTTTTCACTAGGTTAACTACTCGTTTTGTATGAATTTTCTTCTTGCTTACTTTGGGTTAGTGCTTGATGCATTGTCCCATCTTACCACGTCTACACTTTTTCGTTCGAAGGAGTGAAAGCTAGGCAGTCAAATATATGAAGGGCTATCTATCTGTGTGGCACCAGAGTCATTTCTAGTCATAAATAACTTTCAGTGTTTTTCGCTTCCATAATTCCTTTGGATTTGACGTAGGCTGTTAGAGTTGTAGGTAGACGTATGGAATTGTCATAATTCTTTCCTCTCGGGCAAGTTGGATGCCTCTGCAGTTTTACGTTTGAGTTTGTGCCTTTCATGATGCAGGTTTGCAGAATTTGGAAGTGAATTTTATCAGAGGAGCCGCCCCATATCACGTACTTCCTTGGACATATGCCATCATGTTATTTGGATGTTTAGAAAAGTTATTGTGGCGGATCATCATCACGACGACTTTTCAAACAAATTTCGCTCAACCGATTTTAATGATCTATTCATGGGATAACTCTGTTAAGCCGTATTTGAGATTAAGGCCCCTATCTGTGTTTTTACAGCCTACGATTTAAGGAGAAAAGCTAAAGCGAGATTTACATCAATGCCCAGGACTACTTCCAGGACCAGGTTCCATTTCCCTGCGATGGCATTTTGAACCCGACCTTGGAAACATAACGCCAGTCTATTTTGCTCGTCCTTCAATTGTTCCATTTATGTGCCGCAACTGCCATCGATATTGTCGATTCTCAAGTGTTCTGTTCAACTCATAGTTATGATGATTGAAGGATAAATGTAAGCGTCGATTCTCCGCTATTTAGGTGTAACGGAAAGTTGAAGAATGAATCTAATAAGTTATTTTCAAGCTGTCTACTACTGCTATAAAAAATGTTTTAATCATATCTTTTCACGCCCATTCAATTCTCGTTAAAAGGGAGGCGTAATTTTTTATTTTTGGTTTTGAACGAAAGTAATGACATCCCGTTATTAACATGATATGTGGATATTTGGGTAAGTTGTATTTAATGATAGGCTAGAAATTGTGCATATTTTTTAAGTCTGTTGAATGTGCCTGCACATTCAACAGACTTAAAAGCCAGATATAAATATTTTACTTGTGATAACTTTCTAAAATTGATGAGCCTGAAATGCTTGCCTTTCGCCTTTTACAGTCGAACAGGTCGTGCGGGAAAGAAGGGCACGGCGTACACCTTTATAACACCGGACCAGGAAAAGAACTCAGCAGATCTGGTGAAGGCCTTCAACGCGAGTGGTCAGATGGTGCCCGAGGACCTCTACCTCATGTTCCAGGCCTATAAGGAGCGCATGATGATGGTGAGTGTCCCTTCCTCTAACTTCGCTCTCTAACACCTTTTTCTGTGTCAAGGAGGGTAAAAAGGTGTATAGCGGCAGTGGCTCCGGCTTCCGTGGGAAGGGCTTCCGCTTTGATGAGGTGGAGGCGCAGTTGGCCAGTGACAAGCGTCGCTTTGCCAAGGCCGCCCTAGGCATCGAAGACTCGGATGACGAGGGTTCTGCTGAGGGTGGTAGTGCTGGCGGTGTCGACTGGGACAGCAAGATTGAAGACATGTTCAGCTCCAAGCGGAAGGTCATTGATGTGGCCAAGTCGGCCGCGGAGGCCAATGCGTCCACTGATTCGTAAGCTTTGTCTCGTGCCTTCTGTATGACATATTTTTTCATCTACTTGTTTATCCATGCTGAAAGATCTCGTACTGGCATATGCTTACAAATGTTTAAAAGCTCAGGGACAGTATTATCGTCAAATGAAATCATTTGTTCGTACACTAAATTGATTTGTAAGTCCTGATTTCACCATATGTTTTCAAGCCAAGTCTGCTTTTCCATTGCCTCCTCCACCTGCACGGTATTGGTATACCCACAATCCAACAACCATGTTCATGCTTGTTCGTAGGTAACCATCATAGTTCTACCAGTCTTAGCACTAAGCGTGTTGCCATGACGTTTAATTCCTGTCCCACGGCGTACCTGCAGAATGAATATAGACGTAAAAGCGCAAATTCTGCTAAACGCGTTTTGTGACTAAGCTCACGGAAACCCCAGTTGTTTACAGTCCCCACCTCAACCTGGAATTTATTTCATTTTCTCGAAAGTGTTATTTGGTAGTTGGGCCTGTACTCTTAGCCTTGAAATAAGTGACCGATGAAAGTTGCCGCGAGCTGGGGTAGGCACTCCACTATTATTTCCTGATTTGTTTTTTTCTACACTGTTGAGGCACCGTGTTCTCCAAGTCGATTGATCTACACAATCTGATGTAATGTGTTCGATGTTGGTATTACACGGTTCTTAGATTGTTACTGTCACATTTCTAAGTATCTGTGAAAGAATTGATATTCACTTTGGATAATTCACTTTATTACCAACGTTACGGAATCTGAGGATTGGAATACTTCGAAAGCCAACTTTTCCGGGTTGCAGGTAGATTAATTCGTGCTCCTTTTGGGACTGCATTATAAAGTGGGTCAGGTGATACATAGCTGTAAACTGAGTATCTTGATTATGTAGTTCACTTCAATGTCTACTGTAATGTCGGTAGTACTGCGATTAGCATATTCATGTATTCTCGGTCCCATTACGAACCTGTTGCGATCTTGCAATTCATTGCTCATCGTTATAGGCAATGGCACCTTTTGAGGGAGCGGAATTGCGCACTTATATGTGGCACTGGAAAGTTGTCAATGTGCTTTTTCAAACAGTAATTGAAATTACTCGTTCAAACTGGTGTTAGACACCCAACCTCCCGTGAATTAACGGAACTTCTCTATCTTGTTGGAAATCAAGCATTGATTGGGCACCGCACCTCGAAGCAACTTCGAAGGGACCATTACATGTTGCGCAATCACCTATTTTAACTAGGCCTCGGAGGCAAAATTTTATTGATGCGAAATTTTACACTATTTGAAACGGCAATAGTAGATATTGAGTGAGTGATGCTAATCACTTATGGACTCTGGCGACTTAGCTACAGTTTATGGTCTTTAATAGTCTCCTTTACAACGGAATTCCATTTGATTCATGTCCCTCGTGCATCTGATGAGTTTTGATGGAAGGTATTGATATTTTTCGAAATAGACTAGAAAGGATCTCAAAACTACTGTTGTTTACTGTTGCAAACATCAACTTGCTCTTCAGTATCTGTTGTTATTTGGTCCCCGTCTTTCATATTTCTTCAGTCTGGACCCGAAGATAGCCGCGCAGCTGGAGTTGGCAAGACAGAAGGCCAACCAGGTGGCACTGCGGGGCGGTCTTGGCACGAGCGCATCGAAAACGGTGTTAGGAGGCACTGCGGCGGCGGCAGCGGGAGGGGTGCCGAACGCTGGCCGCACGGCTGCCGAACTGGCCGCAGAGCGACTCAACGCTAAATTGGGCTACTCCAAGTCCTCGTCCATTGCTAACGCCGATGGTGACGACGAGGGTAGCAGTGCTGCCGCTAACAATGCTACAGACTTTGTCCGGAGGTATGCATATCATAAACATGTAGAATTAGTGGGAGAATGATAACATAGGTAGCGTGAGTATAGCTCACTTCTACCAATACGGTGGTCTGGTTACGGTGGTTTGAGTTACGTACAAGGCATTCAGTTAACATTTTGGCAAATTTTATTGGCCCCGAGCTGAATTTCCTCTGTTTGTGCACAGGTATGAGGAGGAGTTGGAAATCAACGACTTTCCGCAGAACGTGCGATGGCGCATTACGGGACGGGAGTTGTTAACTCACCTGAACGAGTACTGTGACGTGGGGGTCTCGGTGCGCGGGGTCTACATCCCCCAAGGCAAGGGCATCTCCGCCGCCTCGGCTGCGGCTGCAGCAGGTCTCGTGGACTCGAGCGACGAGCGACCACTCTACCTCTGCCTCGAGGCTACCAACGAGCGCAGTATCCAACTTGCCAAGGCCGAGATTATGCGCATCATCAAGGAGGAGCTCGTCAAATTAGTGAGTCGCCTCCCATACCTCCCTCATTTCCCTCACTCGCATCTGCTCACTTGATTCGTTGAGTTGTAGAGCCTGAGAGGGTATTTGTCGCAATGTAGACTTCAGCTGGATAATGTTCAGGTCGTTGTCAATATTCTATCCCCTTTTAATGGTGACAATGCAATCGAGATTTGGTGTGGTGGCCACTTTTTGGTGTTGTTATTTCCTAAGTCACCCGTGACGAAGCAATGAAGTTAAGGTATACGAATCTAAAAGTAACCTCATTATGAGTACGGGGTGGCCTTAGTGTTGCATTGAATTGACCTCTAAGGTCGTAGTAAGGCAAATTAGTGTGGTTGAAAACATTTTTTTCAACTGATAGAACGTAGTCGGTCCGCTTTTGACCATCATCAGCATTATAGGTGACCAAACGTTTCCCTTAATGCCTTCGAGCTTGACCTCCTTGGTTGATGATAGACTTATCATTATTTATTGGTGCAAAGTGTAGTTTACACTTGTGGAGTAACCGGATAGGTGAAAGTGCTAAACACACTCTTCAATCGCGTAGGCTCTAACAATAGAATGACATTTTGCAATCTATTGGTTATCGAAACAAGGTCATGTTACTATATCGTCCCGCAATTTTCCCAAAGACGAATAGACACAATACACGTGCAAACTGTGTATTATCGACGTACAAAAGGGCTTGGGGATACAATCCTGGCCCGGAGACCAGGCCGCCCGTCAGAGGTACAATGGCAGACCTTAAGTAGCCTGTTAGCAAAGTTAAGAGCTATGCAATCCAAGTGTTGTATAGCTCCCCTCCCCTCCTCTGCGCTCCCATCGGTCAACCTTTCGAGTCAGCCATCACAACGTAGTCAGCGCTGTAAGAAATACGCCCGCGAATCAACCGCACCAGCCATTGAATTTGCATGCAGCTGAGAAAACATTTGGTTGTAGTGTGACTGAGCCCCCTGACAATTCCGCTTTATCTGAAATTTCGTCCCGTTTGGGAACTGTATTGGGGGACGTGGACTGTGCTGGCCGTCACGTATGTCCATCGCCTAAAAGCAGTCATTTAATAAAGGACAGTGGTTTAATATAAGTCCGTGGGGATCAGATTCCGCGTCTATTCCTCCTTGTCACCTTGTTCTCGCTTCAGTGCTGTCCAGCTAATCTATCTGGGTTCTATGTAGTTAGTTGGGAGGTGGGGCAGGTAAGATAGACAGCTTGTAACGAACTTTTCCTGATGGTTCACAGCTAGTGTCGCTTCAGTTGTGAATGACATCCCTGCAGAATACGGGACTGGGGTAGTTGCCGAAGGTAGACGTCATGTTTAGCCCTTCTGTTAGGAGTCGTCAAAGATTCTCCCATCCTTAGCATATATCCTTCTTTCGTCACACTAAGGTTTATCACTCAGCAGTAGAAATCAGGGTAGCTGTTCCTTAGGATTGGGTTCGGTTTCCGGTGCCACCAATGTAGCGCTCCGAGATTTCCCTGAAGACCAAAGAAGTCATAGTATTCGGGCAGAATATGTATTGCTGGCGTGCAAAAGGGCTGAAGATGGGCTACTGACTTGACCCAGAGGCCAGATCGCCCGGCAGAGGTACAGTGGTGGAGCCTCAAGTGCCCCGTAACCAAAACCTAAAGCACTAACAAGGTCCTCTTCCATTTTTCCGTATTTACTTACGGGATATTAATGATTGCTAGAGAGGTTGGGGAAAATTATATGGCTAAAATGATTTACTTTCCATCCCTTATACTGGTATTCTAACTGTTTGATCTCTATTTTCAGCAATCAAGCAGCAGTCTGACCAACCGGGGTCGATACAAGGTTATGTGAGGAGACATCGACACTTAGTGGGAGGCTTCCCTTCCGCCTCCTGTCTTCCCTATTTACTGAAAATATGTTTACCTAAATACTGCTGTATCATCTGTTGTACATGATGGGAAATACATTTACGTGGCTATTTTATTTGCCAATCTTAGCTATGGATGCATCCTTTTATGAACGACTAGGGTTGTGGGAAGGGGTTGATGATGCCCGCATCCGATAGTGGAAATATTGGTTTTGCGCTTTTTACAACAGCCCTATCGAATGTCCAAGGTGTCGTGCGTGTAGCTGCAGCGCAAACGCGTCGGCGTTAGTGGTGGCCTCGTTCAAGGCAGCCAACCGGGACGTTCGGCGTTGGAGGCTAGCGAATGACCGGATTCGCTTGGGCGATAATAGCCGCAATGACGATCCAGTTGGACTTGATTGGTTTCCTATCAACGGAGTTGTGACTCGCGTCCGGCTGCCGTGCTCGACCCTATTTATCCATTGGTAAACCATGGCCTTTTTAAGCGTCTTTTGTCTCATGGAGTGGCGGTCGGCTTCTCTCAATCATAGTCTAGGTACAAGGTGTTTAAGTAATTTTATCAAGAGTTATTCCAAAGCGTTTATGTCACCGTGGTATGGTGATGCCAGTGTTTATGTGGCCACTAAATGGAGGTCACAAATCGCTCATTGCGGTGAGGACTGTGGGTCATTCGACTTGTGTAAAAGCGGGATGGTGTCGTTGTAAGGTTTCCACAAACTGTTATTCCGGTGGCGGCTTTGCTAAGCAAAAGCGGTCTGTGATACGCATTGACACAGCAACTGGAAGGCACTGTTTTATGCGGGATCCGTTATTTTTTAATTAAGGGTTGATTTCGCCAGCCGATCAGTCTCGTACCACTCGATCGCGTTCTTTGTTGACACCCATTTTTGAATCTCGACCTTCATAGCGGTACCTGATGGTAGAGGAACTCTCGTGTATATATATATATATATATAGTAAGCTTTACACTGTGGCAATGCATCCACCTGGTATGGGCGATAAATGTTCAAGGACTTTGTTATACTTTGAATTCTGCCTCGATGGTATGCCGAACGTAAAACAAGCCATGAACAAAATTATACGCCGGACTTTCTACTGCTGTGACAGATCTTGTGGAGCACTGTCGTGATGTCTTCACTACAGAGGAGTCTTTTCTCCGCTTCCTCCTCTAAGATCTCGTCGGTCCATTCGCTGAATCGGCTTTTCTGCACATAACGAGGGTGTGGGTGGAGGGACGTTACATCGTGTCCTTTTTGGTGACGCTGGGTGACTACATGGAGGGTGTGATGTTTGAAGCCTGGTTACCGCATGTATCTCTCGTAATCTCGTCCTGTGCGAGTTGTCCATGGAGTAGTCAGCATACGTCATTCAGAGCTTTTGCGTATTCTGAATGACTACCCTAGCTCGCATCCGAGGGTGAGGGATCTCAAGGTGTGTCACATAGAGACCAGGCTACTGCAGAGTCTCTTTGATACTCAAAACAAAGTGATGTATCTCGATGGCTCTGTATGTCAGGTGTAAAGTAAACTGAAAATCTAAATCATACAAGGAGTATCAGGGCATGAAATCCGGTCTTTCCGTCGAGGGAAATGGCAACTCGCCTCACTGACGCATCTGCCAGACAAGGCTACCCTACATAAATGAGCTTGGGAATAGTTTTGCTGGCCGCTAGGATGAAGTAAATGGGAAGGTACTTGAAGCTGAGGTCTTTTCTTTTTCAGAATGATCAAAAGTCATACGTAGGAATAAATTTTAACTAGCGAAAATAAGGACGGTGAGGTAAATGGTAGTTGTCAAGTTGATGAATGGGGCATTATTTTCCAGACCATCGAAAAAATGAAGCTGCACCGCTTGAATGGAAATATCAGTAAGCAATGACTACTGTTTTCAGTCTTATTAAAGAGATGCTAGTGGCAAAACAGAAAAGTAGGTCTACCAGTTCTTGCCACACCTTAATGGTACAAAGTATAGGCGGAACTGCAGCCGTTGTCATCGTCACCTTGAGGAGGAACTTGCGGACGATGAAATACTTTAAGTGCCTGACCTCACAATTCCATTATCGACGCCCTCTCATTACCGCGGCGTTTTCATAAGCTCGTCAGAAGGAGTTTGGTTCGCCCTTCATAACAGCACTCAACCAGGCCGTTCACTAGAGTCATCATCTTTTGGCCAAACAAAGTGGGGAGCGGAGGGTTGCTGGGTCTCAGTGAGGGCAAAGCTGTTTTTGAAATATGATGCTAGTCTAGCTGAGTGGATCAAGAAGAAGGTGAAATAATCCTTCTAATGGTCACTGCAGAGTCTTAGTTGGTCATATTATGAGTAGGAACACCTTGTCTACAACATAACAAGCTTGCCAGTCACGTATAATCAACTTGTCATTTTATTTGTTGCTGCGGTTAAATGGCAGCTGGTACAAAATATGGGTGCCTTTAATTTCTTCCAATCACCAGAAGCAGCCATGACGGCCTCCTATATAAGTGTCATTTTTTGACCAAGCCAGGAAGCCCAACACGTAAAAGGTACCGATGAAGTTGTCAAGGAAGTTGGAATGAATGTACTAAACTAATCCTAGATGGTTGAGCAAAACTGCTAACTTTTCCTTAGCAAGCATTTGACATTGGCGTTATCCAAGCTGTGCAGAGGGTTAACTTGGCTTTAAACAATGACACAACACAGATGGATTAGATAAGATATGAAGGTGGAAATATGTTATCCAGTCATCCAAATGAAGAAGGCTAGCCCAAACATCCGAGATTTATGGGCTTTTTTGCAAGTGAAATGACATCATCAATTGAGACTTGGTTTGAAGGTCCTCCTCTGTGTGGAACTGATGGATGTACTGCCATGCTTCCGTACACCATTCATCGCGTTTATGGTGGGTGCCATGCGATGGGGAAAATTGGGGCAATTTATGTTTGCAATGCAAATGGGATGGAATCCCCTCATACCAAAACAAACCATACTGTAGCGCACCGAGACCTCGCTGAGGATAAATGAAGGCATGATACACAAGTAGACCGTGCATTGTCGACATATAGAAGGGCTCGCTCCTACTGGCATAGCCCGGAGGCTAGGCTAGCCCACCCGACGAAGGTACAATGGCGTAGCGTCTAAGCGATCCCTTTACCAAAACTGAGAGTTGAACAAACAGCCAACGTATTTTATGCCTTCAATTTCTATTAATCAGTGGAGGGAGTAGGGTTGAGCTAGAATCTAAGCTGCTTCATTTAGCGCGGCCTCAATTCCACCTTTGATCAACGAAAACAATATTAAAATCGTTTGTCCTTGTACAGAAACCAGTAAAACTGTCAAGGAATGCACTGAAAACAATCCTAAAATGTTAGCTAAAACTGTCAAATTATTCTTAACACGCGTTTGCCATTGGTGTTGACTAGGGAATTCAGAAGGTTAACGTGACTCAGACAATAACAGAACACAAAGGGCTAGATAAAAGGGTCAAAGTGAACAGGAACCCAGAAGTCGTTAAAAAGGTGAAAAGATGTTACTCTATCACAAAAATGACATTGCATCACCGAGACTTGATTTGAAGGCACTTCTCTGTTGACGGAAGTGTTGCTGCGCTTCAATGCACCGCGTCTGTAACGTGTGTGCTAGGTGGTGGGAAAAATTGAAGCTTTATGCTTTCTCAATCGTCAAGGTCAAAATTGCCTGGTGTATTGAAAAAGAAATCCGACGGATTATTCACATATGCATTTATCAAGCAGAAATACCTAGTGAGCACAGTCAAATGTAGTTAAAGGGGATGCAAACTTGGCTAAAATTGTGTTTCAGTTATAATCCCTGTTAACCGGAGTTGCTTCCAAAGAAGGCTATATTTAACATTGACTAAGCAATGCACCTGAGGCCAAGGTAAAGATATATGATTAGATGGAACAAATAAAACACGAGATGAACCATTATTCTGACAGCCAAAGTGGTCGACTTATTACTCCGATAAAAATATGCTCAAGAATCCCGGGAATCTACCTTTATAAAAGCGAAAATAGTAACAAAATTAACACCCTTTAATTAAAGTGGAATGCTGACCAAGTCTGAAGGGCATACGATAATGTGCCTGTCTAATGCGCCACGAGTATATCACACAATCGCCATAGTGATGGAGGCATTTATTCCCACCTCCGATGTAAACACAGAGCCATCACTCATGGGACGAGTGATAAAAGAGACGAGGAAAAGGAGAGGGAACCGCGCGATCGATAAGTCGGTGGTATTGGGTGCCAAGAGGTCACGTGGGTTGCGGCATGGCAACAAAGGCAAGAGGTCGGACAGTGGAAACAGCGACAGCAGCCTTACTGCACCCAAACGCACGTCAAATATGAAGAGGGAGAACTCAGAGAGTTCAGAGGGAAAGAAGAACAAGGCGAACAAAGCCACCAAAGTAGCGGCCACCTATGTGCTCATCAATGGAGAGACTAAAAATGAGTGAGCTATCGATGGTATAAGCTTAGCTCAGGTTCTGCCTTTTTTACACGTAAAACAACAAATTTTTATTACCTACCTAACTACACACACTCCTAGTAAAGATTCATAAATAGCTGCACTTACGCAACTTCCGACAAAGTATTAGACTGTTGGTGAGAATTGTTGAAAATCATTTCCAGATTCGGAATTATTTTTCTTCACCCACCGTTAAAATGACCCCCTCAACCAACCACCACTTCGCATGGGCTAATAAACCGCTACTTCGCGGAGTTGAGTAGCACCATTTGCCTCCGACTCAGCTTCAACTGCCCATTAAATTCACAGTTGAAACGGTCCTTAGATGATGCGAGAGAACGTGTTTGAGTGAATCTGCGTCTTTATGTTCAGCGTGTTCAACCTACGTTCGGACGTGATGGTGAAGCGTCGCGGTGGCCTGATGCTGAGTTGGACAGGTGCGCGGGTGGAGGTGCCGCATGGGGCAGTGGGGGGTGCGCGGTCGCACCTCATCTCAGCACCCCTGCCCGCAGCGGTGCGTGCTTATGCCTGCCCCTGGCTCGGGCCCAACCTGCGTCTGGGCAGTGATGTGCATCTTCTTTGGTGCTCCGCCAAGCTGCGCAAACCCGTCCAATGCTTCATCCCCTTCTCCTACGCCACTGCCATCGAGCTCACCACGCCGGAGGCCACTCATAAGGCTGAGGAGGGTTATGCTGAAAAAGGTACGCCCTACTCATCCTCTCTGTTGAGACTTCTGACCAGCGTTTGTTAAATGCATCTCTACTGATAGTTAAGCTGAATCTGGTGTTTAGTTGGCTTTGGTACATGAAATACGAATAGGATACCTCTTTGCAACAGGAAAAGTAACCATTCCTCCTAAATATGAGTGGCTGATTATTAAGGTACAACTTTAGGCATATAACCACTGCAGTTACGTGCTTTATGCCTATTAAAAGATTGATTACTTGGCTTTGGTCCTGCATCCCACTCACCTACTACCTCCTGATCGCTTTGGATATACAACCGATTTAAACTGTTGAAAGCGGAATTTATTCATCAAAATACACAAAATAGTTGGTGAAATTAAAGCAAACCACCAGTGAGAACTAAGTAATGGGGACATCTTTGCGACTTGAACAGGGCTATCATATGTCTCGACAATGTTGAACCGCACTTTCTGACTGGCACCGCTGGGTGGCATGGTGGTAGCGTTGTTTGTCTGATTAATTATTCTAAATGAAAAATTTCACCGAGAAAGGAGTGGGACAATATTTAGTTAGGAAATTTTATAAATTAGTAAAGAATATAGATGATAGGGAAGTCAATTTTAGGGAACAGGTAGCGCCACAGGTCTTTCTGAGGACGAAAGTCGTCATAATGCAGACGTACCGGGGGCTGGGGGCGGGGGCGCTGGCACGTATCTGAGACCATTCTGCTTAGTGGAAGTGCAAGAGTGGAGCCTTAAGCGCCTGTGAAACTAAAATTAAGAGTTAAACAAAATTTTCAAGGTAGTAAATAGCCCCCTCAGCGGCCATTAGAGCGTAGTCAGTGCTGTGAGGCAAGCGACCACGAATCACCCGCGCCAGTCATCCAATTTGCATGCAAATGGGAGGCTACTTGACTGCAACGTCAATGATCCCTCTTGGTAATTCCACTGAATCTGTAGTTTCGGCCTTTATGGAAGCTCTATTGGGGACGAGGAAATATGTTGGTCAACACGACTGTCCATCACGTGGGATTAGGTTTTGCGACTGTTCCACCTTGCCACTTCATTCTCACTTTGGTGCTACCTAGCACACCTATCTGCGACCTAGTCTGCTAGTAGAGAGAAGTGAGTGTTGCATGCTCACTCAGTTGATATCTGCATAGCGGTAATGTAGACAGCTCCATAGTAAACGCTTCCAGATGGTTCACTGCCGCGATTAGCGTCGCTTAGGTGTTTAATAACATTTTTAAAGAACACGGGGCTAAGATAATTGCCAAAGGTTGACGTCATTTCCTACCCTTCTGTAAGGGGTCGTCACAAATTCTCCCATCCCCAGCACGATTCCTCTTCCCGCCAAGTTAAAGTTTGTCATCCAACAGTACAAATGAAAGGATGTTGTCTCTTGAGAAAGGATTCACCTTCCACTGCCACCAATGTACCTCCCCAACACTCTCCTCGAGGCAAAAGTAGACGTAACGCTGAGGCAGCACATTTTCTGTCGAAGTACAGAAGGGCTAAGAAGCTACTGTCATGACTAAGTTGCCATGCCGCCCGGCGGAAGTACGATCGTCATGCCTTTCAGTGCCCGCGAAACTAAAACAAAGACTGAGAAAAGTAATTAAAGTATTTCAAAAATAAAAAAAAACACTGTTGGGATTGTGTACAGTGGTTGAGAGGGCATCATCTTTAGAACGACACCATGACTTCTATACCATCTTAAAACCCCGCGGCTATTCATAATCATAGGATGCCTGATTCACTGTGGACAGATCCAGCTTCAGTGCACAATTTTACCTTCTTCAGCTCTCTGTTAGGACTGAATTGCAAAATTTGAAATCCACTACAAAAATACATTTCTTTCCGTCAAAGTAATTTACCACCTGCAAGGAGATAATTTGAGGACCTGTCACCATTTCTGGCAGTTCTTGAAGGCTTTTTAGACTAGATCACTAGTTGAATTTGATTAAAAAACTTCTCTTGTCGGTTATTTTCGGGGTGCATAACGGTGTTGTCTAGTTTGCTGCCCTGACTAATACCTTTTTTCGAGGAGAGTAGGCTAAACTTGTGTAAACCGGTTGAGTGGATTTAGGCATCTTAAGGCTTCTGACCATCGCGGTTGCGCTTTTGTTCCCTTTTAGGCCGAAAAACTTGTTTCATGCATTTTTTCAATTGATAAGATGCGGGCTACCTTAATTTTCTATTCTTTCCTTTTGTCATGTCTAAATGCCTTAGTAGTAGTAGATCATCGCCACTAATCGACGAATACCCACACCTTGAGTGAAATATCATAACCAGCATTTTTTTCACCCAGGTTCGCTTTCAATCCGGATTAAATTTCAAAAATAATGAATTAAAAATGAGAAGGCCGGAATAACTACGTTAGGCCTGATGTGGTTACCAATGCAATGTTTCGTGATCGCACCCTAGTTGTTTGACCTAGCCTCTTTAAACAAGACTTCTATGGCATGGCTATGTAATTAGGGAAGAAAATCAAAGTTTCAATCTTCTTTTTAATTATTATTTTTAAAAATTTTAGTCAAAGCTGCGCGCGAGGCAGCGAAAGCTGCAGCAAAACAAGCCAATGAAGGTATTATCAGCGACACCTCGAGCGATGGCCACCACCGTAAGTTCCACTTGCATTTTGTCTCGTATTTCTCTATTCCTTCACTAGTGCCCACATTTGTCCACTAAGTAAAAGATGAACCACGCCACGAACTGCGTTACTTTTTACGTTAGCGTTGATGTTAAGTCAAATCGTAAGATTCCTTTTACCTTACACCTTTCTTGAATCCAGGCTATCCAAGTGCTGACGCACTTCTTTGTCATTCAAGAGCGACATTTTCGCAAACTTTGTTTACTCAGATTATTTAACTGCACTGCAATTTGGGTTCTTTTCACCTCAATTTTTGCTACACTTTCTTGCGTCTGTGTTCATTCACCAGTTCTTCTGTTATTCGCTTGTGAGGTCGTGCCATTCAGTAAGCCTTACACAAAGTATTTGATTGACGGATTCTAAACTGTAGCGCTTAGCAGATCCTGTCCATACCCTTTAGGTTTTGCTTCCTTTATCAACCTCGCGTTATATAACAGTGCTGCAGTGCCTTCTCTCCCTTTTTGTATCACGCCAATGCTTACTTGTGCATCCATTTCAGCGCAAGTTAAAGTTGGATGGCTGAATTTCTATTCTTTCAGACTAGCTAGGCAGGGTAAAGGTGTTTCATGCAGGGGATGAAAATGATCTGTATCAGTAGACTGCGCACTTCATTAAATGAGTGGATAATAGAGAGCCGGTCTTAGTCACTTTTTTCTTGGGTTTCTAGCCCAATGAGCGGGTTACTTCTATATCACCTCAATGTTTCTTCGAAAATTGTCCCAAGCATTGGTTATTCGCACTCATGTTTGTTTAACATTTATCTACTTTTTCAAATTTTGGGACAAAGCTTTTGTCGGCAGTAACCTATCTTATAAATCATCCTGCTGGTTTTACGATCGCATTTTAACTCGTGAACAAAGGAGGGAGCTTTCCGGGAGTCATCACACAATCTTTCTGCTTATTATACCTTCCCTTGCTTTGACGTGCTTTCATCAACGGGCCGGTGCCAACTTTGGCTTCCCCCACCAAATTAGCGCGGTGTTTTAGCTTTGTAGATCTAATTTATCCACCCAATGTTCTTTGAATGACGCCTAGGTCAAAACTTTGGTATTTTCGATTCAGCCAAATAAGTAGCTCAACAGCAACCTCCTCTATTTGAGACTCATTTAGGGTTCCTATTTTTTGTTTTTTTCTATCACTGCACTGAGAGCGCCGCGATAGTGAGACCTTAAGTCGGCATTACAAGGTGGCCACATCCTACCCTACCCTTTACATTGTGGGTGAAAAAAAAACCGGGAAAACAACACAATCCCGTGTATTTCTAAGATGCCTATAAGCCGCACCGTCAAAACAGCTTATCAAAGTGGGAACGTTGGCAACTAACAGGGCAATTTTTCCAAAACACGTTATGTCGTATTGATAAGCCTGGAGTTAAACCAGTTCCAGACTTTGCGGAAGCACGGAAGTATTTAAGTTGATATGTTTACATTCCGCTGTGAATTTGCATTGGGATATCATAAAATTCATTGTTCACTGAGTCTTGCTATATCGATTAGCCAAAAACCAACTTTGAATAAGCAGCCCCAGGGTCACAAACTCTCGCCATAGGGACTCCCAAAGCTATTGGCTGACCTAAGCAAATTGCCTTAAGGAACAATACAGCTTAACAATTAGATTTAAAAGTCATCTTAAAATTTGCTTATTTGTTATATCTCCGATTAGAATCTCTAGTATATCAAAAGTCAACCGCATTACCCATTTTCATCTCAAATAAACAGTTTGTGCCCACGTAACTTACACGTTTCTGTAAAATTCCTTCGAAATATAAGCATAATGTGTGCGCAAAAACAAACACCCAAATAACATCACTTTTCTAGTATAAATTTTTGTCAAAACCTTTAGCAAGCATTAAACTTACCAGCTAACATCACTTTTAACCCCTTCTTTAATTTGCAGTGACGATGCCGCACAAGTCTATTGTTTGAAAATTGACAATATAAATAGATAGTGGTAACAGTTTATATACAGACGAGCAGTAGTGCCCTAGCTGGTACATTTCGTTTACAAAGACATTTAAGTTACTAGTTAATTTGTGTCTGAAGGAGGCCATTCAATGATTTGAATGAAAAGGTAATATTAAAAAATTATCTTGATGGGTATTTAGTGAATTTATATGGAACCGAGATTATATAAAAAACGAATGGTGACATAATACTCAGACAGCACATAAATATTTGATATACAGTGGGGTGTGGGACTAACGGCATGTATCGGAGGTCAGACCACCCGGAGAAAGCACAGAGGCAGAGACCCAAAGTGGCCCCTTGATAACAATCAATGCATTATACTTGACTACAAACAGATAATCTCTTGATCAATTCTTAAGTGGTTTTTCTGGATCGGGGAACATGTTACAAGGTTCTGTTTTTCCTACCTCCAATGGGGCAAGCTGTTCTGCAAAAGACATCAGCGTCTATTTGTAATTGGGAAATAGAAAGACTAAGGGGATGAAGAATTGTGGAAAAAATAGCTAATCACTCCCCACATCACACACTTCAGAGGAGGGAACTGCACCCAACACAGAGAAGAGGAGGGACAAGAAGAAGGCTGGACGTCACGAGCGAGGCAAGACCGTTGACTACGTTGTTGTTGGCATACCGCTCCTTGACACGCGCTCCGTCTTCGTTCTTCAGTCCAGAGTGGGCGAGAATTTCTGGACTCTTAAAAGGGATGTTGAGGTACCCTAAAATTCTTATAGATAAGTCATAGATATATGTAGAGGTTAATTTTGCCTTGCAGCCTTGTTTAAACTGTGAAGTCGCATCACTCCAGCTAAAAACCTAGTTCACTTCTTCTGCATATTGCTCATATTGGTGTAAAAACTGTTTACTTTTGTGGCAGTTTAATAAAACACTAAGCAACGAATCTGGATGACTTTGTTTCGTCAACTTTGTATGAATGAACAGAGTCAAAATGCTGAAAGCATTTAATGGACGATTTGCACTTTGCAATCAAACAAATCACTTCACTCTTTCCGTTTCATTAAACTTACTGCTGTGCATAGCATTCAACTGTTTCCGATGCACAATGACTGTAATAAATATACCGATGAGATATTTTATGAACATAACACCGATTAGTAACCCGTGAACTAAAAGAATAATCCAGTAGTCGGTGTATCATATTGCAATGGCTTGTCCCTACTTGCAAATTAGGTATGGTGATTTGTATATATATATATATGCATTACAAGGCATAGATACATGTCGTTCCATCAATGCGGTACACTTCCTTATGGCCTCCAATACCTTGAACCCTCACATGGAAAATGTTGGAGCCCAGTGCATGTGGTTCTGACCTGTTTTCATAACGAGACGGATTTAATTTGCTTCCAAAGCGACAGAATCTTTTCGCAACAGTTGCCCTGTAGTGGTTGGTGAGGATAGAGCGTGAGGTAGCGGAACGGACTGCTCAGAAGTGATTTAAATAAAAAATTTGAATCCTGGTGATGAATCACCAGATGATGACGAATGCACTACTTTAATAATAAAGAAGCACCTACCACCCATAACAAGTTAGAATAAGTGGAGAAGCAACTCAGGCGATGACCTACGTAGTACAAGAAATGAAAGTGTCACTCGCGCCTGCACCAATCAGAAGGAAGAAGTTGTGACGGCTACTAAGCGAACCGGTGCCACCTATAGGCATAAACAGCAGATGACAAGGAGCCTCGATCTACCAATCTGTAGTTTTTCACTTCTTTCACGTACTTATTATTAAAAACGTACAGTGCATCTCGGATTGGTTTGTTACTGTCCAACTTGTGACGGGAATTGGTATTTGTATTTGTGTGTCTGTGGGTCTATGAGTGACCGATGTACGATGAACTGCGGATGAAATTGTTCACCCGCTGAGGATCAAACAACAATTATGACCAGGATCTGTCTACTCAGTAGGACACAACTCAAACGTGAGCGAGAGACTTCCACTAAGGAAACAGAGAGGACTTGTGAAACAATCCCAGGAAAGCCTCATTCCACATGCTGCGAGAGAACCAAAGATGCTGATTCTCGTATTACAAAGCTCATCCATGAGGACATTACATCCCGCTTTACAAATTGAGGGAATGAGGAAAAGATGAAGACATCATTTTTCTCCTCGATGCCGCTGACTCCCCTCCTCCTCTTCATCATTACCCAAATTTGTAGTTCCCTGATACTCTCACAAGTTCGAAATGTCTACCAACTTTACTTGGCATTCGCATTGGACTATCACATGATCACAAGCAGAATGGAATGGACATTTGGAAGCTCGGGACGAGATGGCTAGGCATAATTTTGTAAGAGTGGGATTCGCAGTAAGCGTTTGCCTCGTTGTGAAAGTATAATTAATCTTGATGGTGACGAATTCAAGGAATTAAATATCGAAGGAAGGTTTCTGTAGTTGTTAGTGTTATACAGAATCACATGAAACCCACTAGTTACCTTTTATAATCTTCGTCCTTTCCGATGACAACTTTTGGTTCCCATTTTGGAATCATGGGTACCGATCACAATTTCTTTATGGAAGGATTCATCGATCACCTTAAACGGCCCACATCATCAGTGGGATTTTCACAAGAAGATTTGCTAAATCGGTCTTAAACAGCAGTGTATTGTTTAACTTAAGTGTTGACTAATAGTTTTCGCTACCGATACTCACTTACCCAAAAGTTTGAAAAAAGTAATCATAGTGAGTCTTGGAAAACATAACAACTTAACTGGGTCTGACCCGTAACTCTGACGCCACGGCCTTGACTGGCCAATCAAAGCAGAAGGCAACTTCTTGCCTCCAGAGCGGTTCAAATGAACCTCTTCAAGAATTTTTAGGCTTCGCAAAAAAAAAAATTTCGACCATCATTGCTAGACCAGGAACTTTATTTGTATATTTAAAAGGAACGAGATGCCATTCGCTTCACAATCACGGTTTAAGCCCTTCAAGAATTGTTTAATTTAGAATTTCGTGGACATCCAATGGACTAAAGGACTCCCTGTGTTGGTGTATACTTGAGGAAGTCGACATCTTTCTAATGATTTGTAACCCTGAACTAAACGGATTTCTTTCCTTCACTTGCTGAGTTAGTACTGCGACTGACACCAAAAAATACATTTATTGAGGAATTAAGCCTTCCGCGTAAATATTTATTAATGACGAAATGCACATTAGTGTAAAGTCTTTTTTACCACCTGAGTTTGCATCGGGAAAATTCGCAAAAAAAGCAGATTTTTCGATTAGCGTTTTTTATTTGTTCCTTACCGTAGTAAGATGCAGACAAGTAAGGTAGTCTCTCAAGGCATCAATTAAACTGTATCCCCTTGTAGATAGTACAGCCAACGGTCCACTACATTGAATGGCCATCGCGAATGCGCGAGGCTGCCTACAAGGCGAGCCGCTTTAGCGAGCACAACGCAAAGGGAGACAGTTCCTCTTTACCAACTGGACCGAGGGGCGCGGTGGGGGTGGATGGCCGAGCGGGTTTGACTCTGTCGAGTGTCAAGTCTGGCGGTCGTGGGGGGCGCCGCGGTGGAGGCGGTGGGAGCGGAGGCGTTTCGCGGCAAGCCTCCGACGTCGAGGAGATTATGCGCGCCGCGCGCGAAGGTGTCTCGAGTCTGGAGGTGGCCAAACGAGCAGCCGTTTTCACCGGAGGTGTGATCTTCCGCACTGACGAGTTATACGACTTCATCGCTGTCGTTATCGGCACACCCTCTGAGACGGTGGCCTTCGATTCGGATGGAGGACTGTTGCGCTCCTCAATCCTCCATCCTCTTTTCAGTGTGCGTATCCCCAAATTCGCACTCAGGAACACCCTCACCTCCACATTTAAGGTCGGTTTGAGACTCAGTTCAGGAGTTATTGAGACTTGAGTCTCAGTTCGTTCCAATATCAGATACGCAAATTGTGAACCAAACATAAATTGGGTATGCTAAAACTTCATGAAATTCGGATTAGTTTTTTGTTAACATGACTAATTTAACAGCCTAATGAATACCAGCTGTGGAACTGCACCATTAACAGAAGAAAATTGGCCTTGTTTGGGTGAATTTTACGTGTTGTGCTGTAGAGGCAGTTCATTACATAAATCTAATATCCAAACTTTGCGAAAAATCATGATTTATGGGGTTTTGTGGGAAAAAAGTCCCTGTGCTTCTCAGTGCTAAATAGTGGATTGTTCTTGGCTAGGAGGCACTCAAAAACAGTGGTTGAAGCCTTCAAGGAGCTCCAACCACCCCATTTATAAAGCCATCTTTAATGGGTCGAAGAGTCGCAGCATCTTGATGCAATCAAATAACTTATATAACTGAAAAATAGTAAAATAAATTCTCTTATTTCTGTCTTAAAAAAACCAAAAAGTTGGGCTCAAATGCCTGAAATTTACATTTTACCGCGTCCTTCGTGTGAAAAATGCTGCATTTAGGAGACACGAAGTATTTTAACTGCGCCTGGATGATAAAATTCCATTTGGCAAATCATTTCAGTCGGGCGGATTGTAAAAACACTTGTGGACTATTTTTACATTGCAATTGCTTAGTTTTTAAAGCCTCAGGTTATTTAGGTGTTTAAAAGATAACGGCAAAGCCTTTCCAACTCGCTGGGAACATTAAAATAAATACTACTAACAAAGTATAAATCGACCAACTTCTCAATACGTAGATGAAAAACTCCATTGCAGTTAAAATACCAGGAGATATTGTAACTCCCCAAGACTTCTCTGAAGTCGGAAGGGCGACGTAATACTAGGGTAGAATATGTACCGCCGACTTAAAGGGGTAGGGCTGCTAGCACAGCCCGAAGGTCATGCCGCTTATCGAGAATACCATGGCAGAGTCTTCAGTGAGCGTGTAACCAAAACAGAGTTAAACTACCATCCAAAGCATTACATAGCCTCCCTCTCCTTTTGAGTGTCTTCCCTGGACCTCCCCTTGGTCATCCTACCGAATCAGCCATCTCAGCGTAGTCGGTAGTGCAAGAAAACACCTGCGGTCATTGAATTTGTATGCAACTGAGAGAATATTTGACTGCAGTGTCACTAATTCCTCTTGGCAATTCTACTGGGACAATGGTTTTGTCCTGTTTGAAAAATGTATTGGAGGATGGATAAATATGTTAGTCGACACGCACGTCCATCGCTAGTGGTAAAATACTGGCCTAAAAGCAGAATCAATTAATAATGGAGGGGGTTTAAAATAAATTCCTGGGAGCAAAGTTTTGTGCCTGCTCCGCTTTATCACTTTGGTGCTACCTAGTTAATCTATCTGGCTCCTTTCAGTTAGTAGTGAGGTGGTGGAGGAGTGGCGTGTTCACTTGGTTGACATCTTTATGCAGGTGACTTAGACAGATCCGTTGCGAACTTTTCCTGATGGTTCACGGCTAGTGTCGCTTCAGTTGGGAATGGCATTCTACAGAACACGGAACTGGGGTAGTTGCCGAAGGTAGAAGCCATTTTCAACCCTTGTATTAGGGGTCGTTCTTATTCCCTCGTCAGCAGCTTGTACCCTTATTCCCTCAAGGTATGGTTCATCACCCGGCAGTAGAAACGGGCTCGCTTTCCATTGCAACCAATTTAACGTCTTGAAAATTCCCTAAAGACGAAAGAAGGCATAACCCTAGGGCAGAATCTGTATTCGCGACGCAAATGAGGGCTTGAGGCTACTGGCATGATCTGGAGGAGACACGGAGAGGAAGTACAAGGGCAAGGCCTAAAGTACCCGTGAAACTAAAACGGGTACTGCACCATCATGATTTACAGTATTTTAGTAAAAATTTAATTTTTGATCGAGTTGAAGAGGCGCAGTATTTTCACCGTTATTTTTATATTCTAAGGACTTCAAATGCACGAATGTCTTCTCAAACATAAACCGGTCCACTTTATTGCAAGGTAGCTCTTTAAGGTTATGTGATGCATCTCAACATTCATGGCAAAATTTTATAGTGGGGTGTAGTTACACAATGCGTCGCAGCGAGCCTTCGCTTCTACCTCCTGCCACCCTTAGAGGCACTGGAGCGAAGAGCTTATATTAGCAACGTCGTATTAACAAAAATATAACCATAAAGGCTCTAGGCAAGTTATTCGTAAAAGACGGGGGACATATGCTACCTCTCGACCTTTCTATAATTCAACCGTGTTTTTCCAAAAATTTAAGGATCGTACTTGGCCGGACTGGATTTCCTGTATATGATTATCTCGGCAGTTCTAGGCAAACTGAAATGACGCAGCAAATTTTGAACTCAAATAAGAGGTTTCATTCTTTTGAAACTACCTTCAGAAGTATGGGTAGAATTCAAGGGGTAAGTAATGATTAAGCTTACTGAGTTTTCACTTGCCCTAAAATGGGTTAAAAGGCGATACAAGTGCGCAAGGACTTGATCGAGGCCATCCACCACTTCGACTCGCAACTCACGGAGATCAACGAGTGTTCCAACATCTACGAGCTGGACCTGGGCACGGAGGCTTTTGAGAGACCAGTGACAGTAACGCTACCACTGCCCCGATGGTACACCCAAATGGTGGAGCAAATGCAGGTGCAGCCCTCGCCCCATCCCTCCGGTGCGGACATTACCGATGGTGACGGTGGAGGTGGAGGAAGTGGCGAACTGATGCCTGATCTGGAGGTGAACAAGCGAGACAGTCGAGTTCATCGGTCAGCAGAAGCTACGGAAAGTCTCCGAGGGGGGAAGAAGAATGAAAAAAATACCGATCAAGTGAACGTTAACAATGAGATCCCTTTGGAGGAGAGACCAAAAAACCTCATTCTTGTGTATCAGGTGAGCTATTTCTCTAGATAAATTGATGATACTAAAGTCAAAACTTTGTTATTTTGCACCCAAAATTGAAGAATTGCATATTTTCTAAATCTTAACGAAAACTCATGAATGAAGGAATAGAACTATTTCTGCGCCTAGACGTGGATTTTGTCTATCCACAAATAGATGTTGACTAAGTGAGTGACATTCGTCAATTGTCCTCGAAAGTGGTCTTTATGATTAATGACCTAGCATTAGGGCAGGAAGGTATTTCAACTTTACCTAAAATCCGTTACCTAGTCAGTCGGTATGGTTTACACAGCGTCCAATGATGAAGCGCCAACTAGTCTGGCGGGCGTCCACAGGAGATGTGAACAGTGACAACGTGGTGAGTCGGAAGCGTCAGATAAAATCGGGTAACTACCGCGACACGACCACCTCAGCAGTGCTTCGAGGCGACAGCTTGAACGCCAAAAATGGATGGGTGCACCTCCTTCTGGGTCTCAAAGGTGCACCCTGGAAAGACGTCCCCATCAACGGACCCTTCACACCGCGCTGTCTGCAGATCAACACCTACCAGCTTGGTCGGTGAGTCCATTATCGCTGTATATTTGCCCCACAACCGCCACCGATTCACTCTTAAAGCTGCCTGCTAGTTAAAAAGCCGATGAATCTGCGTAGGCACCATTCCACACGCAATTTGACAGATGCTCTGGAATAGTATTTTCGCATTTTGGCTAGCCTACTAATACAATTCGTAACCACGCACTTTGAAAGATTTACCCTCCTGCTCTAAGGTAACTTTTTTCTGTAACAGTGATTGTTAGCACTTTCAGCGACTTTATAATTATCCAAATTATGTAAATTATAGCAAATGAAATGTCTACCTGAATGCCAGGTTCATACTTCCCCCAATAGTTCCTACTCTCATTGGGGTGTTTCCGATTTAAATTTTTTTACTAAATCATCATATCATACCATTTCAAGACGAAGTCGTCGCTTCGACACTTAGGACCCTGCGGTTTCTGCCCTGCATAGAAAAAGTATGCCTTGAAGAATAATTAAGCAAAAGCGACTTAAAAGTTGGATATAAATTGAAAAAAATCTGACGTATCTATGAGTTCAGCGCATTGTACGATCACTCTAAAGGAAAATACGTGTACAGATGGTTTACGTGAGACAAATGTAGAACTTTCTTACAAAAATAATCATGTCATTTGCTTTTCCTACCGAAAATATCATTCCGGTCGTTATCGATTGAGGCTGCAATCAATATTGGCACTAACCAATGGGGCGAAGCCTTTGTGGACCATCGAAGCAATCAAGTCATTTCATTATTCAAATCCCTTTGACTTCGTTTTGGGGGAGGTTAGCTTTGCAATGGTGTACTCAAACGAGCCTCAGCGGACGTCGTCGTCGAAAGTGGCGCATCTGATGGCGCGTCTGGAGGCACTGAGCGTGGCACCGCCGGGCGTGCTGCTGCTTTGTCTGTACACTGACCCCTCGCGGCTCTGTCTGTGGGTCGACTGTGTGCCCTCCACCAAGCTCATTACCACCCTCGAGGAGCGACTCAATGCTGGATTTGTGCCCCTTGTGCAGGCAGGTCCCGTTTTCACTCCAATTCCCATTCAATTTCCGCCTTTTGCACATTTTTTGGGATTAAAAGGAACTAGGCGCTACTATCTCCAATATATGTAATTGTACACCTTGTCCAGGCACGTCTTATACCCTCTCCTATCCTCTCACCCCCGGTGACCTCTATTCGTTGTAAAATGTGGATTTAAGAATGTTGGGAAATGGCGAATTCGAAACTAGACTGATGCGACCACCACTGCAATCGTCTACTTAGTTTTTCTATCGTCAAGGCATGTTCATCATGTTGGTAGACGTATTATCGATGACGGACATAGAGACGATTAAACGCCAGATTTATTCAGTTATTTATCTATATACCATCCTCCTACTCATCAGCTTTTCTCGTTCTTGTCATTAACACCATTTCGGTCATTTAACAACATCAGGAAAAATTACCCCTCCGCACATCTCCTCCTTTGCTCAATGGATGCTTTTAAGGTAAATTACTAAATATTTGACAGATAATCTATGTGGTTATCCACCTCACCACTGTTAGACTCCTTAGCTAATGATTTTGAGCGCAAATTCAAAATACTTCTTGCATGTTCTCAGCATTAAGTTTGTAATATCAGTCATTTTCTGGCACACTTAGGCGTATTTTAAACAAAAAATAATTTTCAGACTTAAAAGTGCCAAATATCTGAATTACTTGGAAAAAAACAGGTAATAACGAGCCCGACAAACAGATGAGAGTAATTTATGGATCATGAACATTAAATGTACTGAGTAGGGTCGACTTGGTGGCATGATTTCGTAGCCTCCCTCACTATGTTTAACTCCGCTTCTTCGCTTCCTTCTAGCACTTTCAATTTTTCCCAAGCATTAAAATATACGGGTAAAATGTTTTCATGCTGCCTTTTAGCCTTGGGGTTTCTTTTAAATTCAAAAGGTATAGCCTTCTATTGCCACGACTAACTACAGCCCACCGAGTTTTTCCTGAAAACGAAGGAAGACATGACACTCACCGCCAATATACAGAGGGGTTAAAGAGCTCCCTTCCTGGCCTGGAGGCCATGCCACCCAGAGGAAGAAAAAGTCGGAGTCTTAAGTACCTGCGAAATCAAAATGAGGGTTTAAACAAATAATCAAAGTATTGCATAGCCCTCCTTCTCCTTTGAGTGTCGTCGACGGCGCTCCCCTCAGTTAACCTCTCGAGTCAGCCATCACAATGTAGTCGATGCCGTAAGAAAGTCGTCCACGAGCCAGCCGCGCCAGCCGTCGAATTTGCTTACAACTGAGTTGATGTTTGACCGCAGCGTCACTGACTCTTCTCGGCAATTCCACTGTATCTGGAGTTCCGTCCTGTTCAAAAACCGCATTGGGGGAGGGGAAATGTGCTGACCATCTCGTATATGCATCTCTAGTCGTAAGAATACTTACCTAAAAGCAGAGCCATGGAATAAAGGAAATGGTTTCGCGGAGATAATGTTTTGGGTCTGTTCTTCCTTTCCACTTTGTTCTCACTTCAATGCTGTCCAGCCACCTAAATCTGCGTTCTCTTCGGCTGGTAGAGAAGAGGAGAGGGTATTGTTTTTTTCATTTAACTGACATCTTACACAGGTACCGTAGACAGCTCCACAGCGAATATTTTAGATGTTTCATGAATAGTGTCGCTTCAGTTGTCAATGGTATTCCTGAAGAACACGGGACTGAAGTAGTTGTCGAAATTAGATGTCATTTCCAGATCTTCTGTTAAGGATCGTCACAGATTTGTCCATTCGCAGCATGTCCCCTCTTTTCATTACGAGAAGGTTTAGCATTCAGTAGTAGAATTCTGGGTGGTTGTCCTTTATGATCGGGTTCGCTTTTCGCTACCACCAGTGTAGCGTCCCCAGTCTTGCCTGAAGTCGAAAGAAGTAATAATGCTAAGGCAGGATGTGGATTGTCGACGTGCGGAAGAGCTAAGGGGTTACTGGCATAGCTCAGGAGGCAGAAATACAGTCTGCAGGGACTCAAGTGCCCGCGTCATCAAACGCAGAGTTAAGCAAACTGCCAGAGCACGTCAATTGTACACTGTTATGGCACTTAACCTCAAACCTCATCACCCTTTACAAATTTTGTTCGTTAGCTGAATTGGATAATTTTGATTGAGAAGTACTAGTGATTGTGCATCCAGGTAGAAATTGCTTCTTTTGCATTTTGGTGCTATGATTGACCACTTTTAAGCACAACAATGCAACCAAAAGCTACCAGGAAGAGTTCACTTCTCCAAACCCTTAATCTACTCTCCCTGTGCATCGCAGGACTTGGGCAGTTTTATTGTGTATATAAATTATGCTATTTTATATCCCTACACAAAAAAGGTACATAGGTAAACTTGTTAAAATGTGAGCTTACAGGTGCGCTCCTTGTTAAATGCACTTGTGTATTTCGTTAGAACCTGTCTTTTCTCTACTGTGCTTAGAAAGGTGTACATCATTCAGCCATCAAAGCATAACCAGGCTTCCCCTTTTGTAGTCGATTTGACCTATGTAGGAAATGTTCAGGTACATTTCCTTCTACAAAACCATACCTGTTTGCGTCCAACAAATGTTGATTAATCCATCATTTACCATCATTCTAGTGTGGTTCTAAGATCATGACTTATTGGTCCACAAAAACTGCCTTAATTTGAGCTAAACGGACTCCACTTTCCTCCGTGTACTTTAAACGCTTCACTACTTTTCTCCTGCAATGGAATTTTTATGCTAGCGCTGTACCGCTGCGAAATCTGCACTAACATTAGCAATAAAAGATAATGTGGTGTTATTTGTAGGATATTTTGCTTCAGGTTAGTGACTTGTGTCAAAAGCTCAAACGCAAAACGAGAGGAGAAGGCGAGACTAGGCAACACCAAGCCAAGTAGGCAACTGCGTTTTTCTTCGTTGTGGTTTAACTGGTGCAATAATTGTATAGAGTTGAGCAAGTCCGTCTTAGAGGGCAACAAAGGCAACTGCAGTAGCGGTGATAAGGAGTACCGTAGTCGAAACAGAGGTAGCAAAATAAAAAGGGCGAAATGGGACCACACAAAAATGAATGTTAATTGTGTTTACTGATTTTCATTTAATTTGAATTAAATGCATGCAAAAATGCGCTACTATCAATTTGGCAGATTACGACTGCACTTATGCCAACATGGGTCCCTTTATCGATTTATCGACACCCCATGCCCCATTTGTGATGGTACATGTGGTATCTAAGCCTAAAGGTTCCATATGGTCAAACACGAGAAATTTTTTGTCGTTTAGTTTTTGAGATGATGTTTCTTTGATCACAGTTTCTTAAATACCTATCGGAACTACTGAGGCCACCCCTCTGGAATCGTTATTGGTATCTTTTATCTAGTGATGTCGCGTATTACGATCTCCTACAGACTAGCCAAAGTGTCAACTGATTTGGGCCATCCATGTGGATGGCAAAACCTATTCATAAACGTTTCGAATTGTCAACATTAGGTCTTATTGGCCTTTACTTTAGCTCAATCACCTCCCCCTTTCTGCCTAAAGCTGAACGCCGACTGTCGAAAACAAATAATCTTAAAAACAATGGTTATTTTCAGCTTGATACAGGGTGTAATTACTAATGTAACATGTCAATAGAACGGTTCAGTACCATTTCTGCTCTCTTAATATCCGCCACCAAACATTGAGAGATAGATATCATACAACTGAGTACCTCATTTTTGAACGAAAACTTGAGTGGACAGCATGTATCTCACAGTGTAATACGAAAACAACACAAAGCTCCTGGAACTCTTGTTTCGTAAGTCCCATGGTCCACAAACAAGCCTAGTTGCACAGATTTTGCGTGGGGGCAATAATGTTTTGAGTAAGCGGCCATTTACAACAAATGCTAACTCGCCCAGTAGGAAGAGATTCATGAGGCTCTACGACATGATTTCGAAAGGAAGCAAACTATCAGTTTGAACAGTTTCGATACAACTGTAATTACCACTTACTTATATCTTCTTTCGAAATGGAGCAGAATTTCGCACTCTCCAAATGTAACTTCCCACTTTTTAAAGAAAACTTACTAATGTATTTCGACTGATATATGTTAGGGCGTCCCCTGCTTATCTCATTCAAGTTCTTTAAACAGCACCGCGTAGCTTCTAAAATCCAACATAAAGCTCTCAAAATTACGCCTTAGGTGAAGTTTTCTGTTAAAAGGACTAGTAATAATACATTCATGGAAAAAAGGTTATCTTTGAGGGCTCATTGTGCTTAAAAATACTCCTTGTTTAAATTCACTAATGCAAAACGGCTACATTTGTTCAATAATCAGGCTAATCAAGTAGCTGTTTTGTTTAGCACGTGTTCTTATTATAGAAAGAAAAAAGTCTGGCTGTGCTCTGATTATATTCATAAGGCCAATTAATGATCCACTAACCTAACACCTAAAATCATGTTACAATGATAAGTATTTTAAAAATTAAACTCAAAAAGACGATTTTTTAGCAATGGACTGGAGATAATATAGCAATTCAAAACATGATGGAAGTCTAGCATTATTTGTTTGCCTGCAAAAAACAATGCTCTCCTATTCTGCCCGTTGTGTTGTAGTCTGCGGCCAGCCCCTCAAGACGCTGTGCGGCGATTGCGAACTGCGCCTACCAAAGCCTGCAGCACTTGCAGTCCGCGTCCGACAGCCCCCCGGACAAATCTCCAGTGCGTTGTTAGTGTTTGACACCTCCTCATCATATTACCTTTCAGCTGAGTGCATCATAGGAAATCGATAACGCACGTGCAAAGGGCAAGGCGTGCACTGAATCAGTAAAAATCAATAGAGATGAGTCATCGACCCTTTTTCCCACGCATTCCACAGGTGTGCGTGCTTGATACAGCGAAACCTTTAGTAGGAAAACTTCAGAAAGAGGAAAATACAATCATGTAAAGTGAACACACCTTTGCAATGCACCAGAAGTACTTCTTTCGTTTTACTTGATGTAAAATATTGCCGTACTATTTCGCTATTTGTATGGATCCATTTCAAAGTGGGGATAGTAGAATGAAGGAATTTCGTCTTCAATTTATGGGGAACAAATTATTATAACCTATTAATATCAATGCAAGAAGCATCACCTACTAAACATCGACAAACCTGACCTGTGTCGCTATCAGTCGTATGCTTAAACAGCCAAAGTAAACAAGCTAAACAAAAGCCCCCTCAACACAGAAATCGGCCTTGGAGACAATACGATGGGGGTGAAGCTCGCATTAATAAATGTCTTTTGACAATAGCAGAAGATATCTATCTACTCAGCAAAACTTCGCCTTTACTTGTGCTTATCGCTTTAAGTCTGACAACTGCTGCAAGGAAAAATTAGGCAATGAAAGTAGCCTAGATGGCTTGGTCAAAGTTACAATATTTAGTGTAGGAATCATGGTGTTGAAAATAAATGTGTTGAATGGAAATTACCCTAATTTAAACACTTTCTGCAAATAGATTCCCATCTTCGGTTCGTCCAAGTACCGAGTCAGTGGCTTTGATCTGCTTCGCGTCCTCCTCTACAACGGGCTCTGTATTCGCGTGGTGGTAAAGGGTCAAGTTCAAATTCGAACTCGCGGCCTGTTCGACTGCTTTCTGAGTCTCCTAGAGGCCAAACGGAGCGCCCTCAAGCAACAGCAGGCGGCCGCTGAGTCCGCGGATGCCGCGGAAAGCTTAACCACCACCGCTGCTGCTCCCACTTCAGCGACAGCGATGGTAGCGGCGGCAGAGGAATCAGCTCTGCTAACTGGGAATCCAGAAAACGTTAGATCCTCACAGACAACTGATGGGGTCCCACCGGAGCAATTCATCACCACCACAGAGACACGATTCTCCTTTCATGACCTCCTCACTGACAGTGCTACGACAATTGACCTTGAACCCCTTAAAGAGAGCTTCGCTCGTATTGCTCTTCGACGCGCTCGCAAGTGAGTCCGACTAAAAATGTGTATCTACCATTTCAGGTCACCTCAAACGATATTTATATTGCCTTTAAATGGCTTTTCCGCAATAGTCACAGAATTACTGGCATACTGGATAATAATGGAGCGGAACTAGGTAATCCCAGTTATCTTCTTCAAATCACACGCTTGATGGACAATTTAGCCTTATTTCTTTGGTAATAAGGCATGGTAAGATTTTTTGAAGGTCATTCGCCTTAGAGACACACTTTTCGTGTCACTGTTTCTTTTCAATCCCGTCATTTAAGAGTGGTCCCTCTTTGTTTTAAGTGTTTATCCGTCTCGCGTTCAAGTCTGCATCTGATAAATTCATTCCACGCAAAAATCCAGAAGGATTCAATCACTCTAATGCCTTCCGGCAAACGAAATTTCCCTTGTCATTAAGCATGATCAACATTCTGCCTTTTCAGACTGTTTTGCTGTAGTTTAACTGATAGATTCAGTTAAGTGCGCATGAAAACCAAACATTAAGGAGTCCGAGCTCTAGTCCCTTTGCAGGGATTGCGGCGGTGTTCTCTGAGCTTCCTCACCGAAACTACAAAACGCTAATTACCTCCTTCAAGGGGTTGATTTCTACTAACTAGTGATTATGTATAGATGTCTTCCTACCATTTCTCCGATTTACCCATTCTCTGAGTAATTAAAAAGTCCAGAGGCTTTTCATCTGAATTCCTCATGCTAATGACCGGCTAATTTTATAGAAATAAAGGCATTGCTTTGGTTGGCCACTTTACATGCTACTGATTACTAACAGGGGACCGTTAAATTAAAATGCGGCGTTTCCAAATTAAAGACGTAGGGGGCACTTCAAATCCACTTATTTTGAGGCAAGTAATGACAATATTTCGTTTACCTGTATTGCATCAACTTTTTAATTAAGTCGGCCATTAATATCGCCTACTTAAAGCGTTTTTAGGGGTTCAAAGGGACTGAAATTTAATATGCTTAGGTTAGTATTATATAATTATATAAGGTTGCCAATCAAATTTACCTCCCACTAGTAATCGAAAACGTAAAAAGCGGTCAGTTGTACTTCTGCTCAAGTCATTGTTTGCAGTTGAGTGAATTGAAACCACCTGTGAAATGGCAGATTCACGTTGGAGCTGGGGTTTCAACGCTTTTGAGGCCGCCAAATTCACCATATTATGTCTTTTGTTTAATCTGAAACTTTGTAAACTCTACTCGAGAATTTGTGGTGTCAAGTGGAATAATCTTTGATCGAAAGCAGAGTTGATTCCCCCTGAGTTGATTAAGGATAAGTTTTTGATCATTGCAACCTAAATTAGACTTGACGTTTGTACTCTTGATACTGCGTTGATCACTGATTATGTTTTCTACAAAATTTGTACAAAAAGGACTCTGTATCTGTGGGCGATTTTTTAAAATTCTTCTATGGCCTCAGAATGATAATGACTGCAGTACTAATTTTTAGAATGGTATTGTTCTGTTATGGGTCACAACGGTATGTGTTTCCCTCTTTGATAATTTATCATAATCATTTTAGAAAAACTAGCGTCTTGCCTTAGTGAAATGCTGTTCCACTTTAATGTCTCTTGCCTTGGTGTGATCAGAAATGGGACTTATTCCACCGCGTCACTGCTTGCATAGCGTCCAGGCTCCTCCTATGGCCATCCATAGCATAGGTGCTTATGCATTAACTTATCACAACATCGGAGAATGGCTCAGAACTAGAAGTGTCGGCAGACTTACCAGGGTCCTGTACAATTTCTGCAAAAACCTCACCTCGTTGCACTGAGTCATCTCGCGTGGTTAAACCAATCAATAACTAATCAATATCGATTTTGTGTGATGCAAGATGAGCACTATTCATCCACACTGAAGGACTTGGCGAACCAGTCGACTTGAAGCGGCTTTGTATAAAAAAAAATTAACTAAATCCAACTAATTTGCAATGTATCAGTCAGACGTTGTTCAGTCCTTATCCTGCCCTTTGAACCATCCCCTCATGACCTGGGAATTCCATATTATCTTTATTATCATTAAATATATAGTACCCGACAGCATTACCACAGCTTTGGAAATGACCGACTAAATTAATACCTTTTCAAACAACCACAAAGCCCGCCTATCGATTTTCCTTTTCCCTATCCAATAGAGAGAACTTGATCCGAAATCTCATGAACCGTCGGTTGGAGGAGCTGGAAGAGGTCAGGAGTTCAGAGACGGGGGTGGAAGTAGGAGAGGTGGGGCAAGAAGAAAGGGAGAAGGAAATGGAACAGCAGAGTCACAACGTCCACAATGTGTCAGATTCCGAAGATGACTCCTCTATAATCCTTCCACCTCTGCGGTTAAATGATGCCCAATCAGAAGACGAAAGTGTGGAAGAGGAGGAAGAAGTTGTGGAGACGACCTCAGTACTTTCACGACAGTCACACAATATCGAGCGATCGAAGAAGATGAAGGTGGAGGGGAGGAATAATGAGGATGATGAAGAGGAAATGGAGGAGGACGATTGGGTGCCATCTGGTGTGGACGGGGACGATGAAAAAACCACTATGGATACTTTTCAAAACCTCCTTGATGCCTTCTCGAACACAAACGCACCCCTACTGGGACTTCATGTCACCAAGGACCTGTGTCGTCGTCTGACAACCATTTACGACAAAGGACTCGCAAGTGGTGAGTTGCTGTTTTCCCAGGTCTCAAATTTAGAGTGGACGGCAACAATGGGCTCGATGTGAAACCATCCTTACTCATTCATTGCAAGGAAACTGAAAATGATTTTCGCTCCCAAAAAGGGATGATTTGGGTATTAGGATCATTTCTCCTGGAAACAATTAGTGGGAAAGAAGTTTTACTCTGAGGAAAGGGAAATAAAATCATTCCATTCTCTTAGGAACACAGATTAAGTTCCCCATAAAAGTCGTTTAGAATAAATATAAACAAGGTTGTTCGCCTTCCCACAAAGACTCGGCGCATCTGTTTGCTGCTAAATGGTGTTTGTTTTTTATTGCAGAAATGCAACATCATGCCATCTCGAAGTGAGTAAGCAGATGGTGTGTTCACAATAATGCAGCTGCTGAACATCAAAAAGGCATAAATGAAATGCTTTTCGATTGTTAAAAGGAAAATAATTGAAGTGCCTCACTTTATCCTGGACTGGCGGTGGAATAGGCAGTTGCGTAAACACCTGCTCTGTGTGCGCTTGAACTCCTTGCAGTTTTCTTCCCTCTTTTTTGAGGAGAAGGTGTCACGGCTAAACAAGCGTAGGATCTACCCAAATCTTTAAAATACACCTGAATATTAAATAGTTCGCTGTATTTTAAGGAATTACTGAAGACTGATTTGTTAAAATCCCGTCAGGGTGGCTTGCAACTACCTTCAGATCTGTTAGTCAGAGGTCTGCCTAAACTCCAACCGTAAAGAGGCAACTGTGCACAACCATGACCATTTACGCGTGATCGGTTGAGGAGAATTTCAATGCATTTACTGCTCAAGTTGAGCCTGTTTGTCAAAGTGTCAAGTGTCGACTGTTGGACTGTGAATTACATCCTTGCCATGAGGAAATTTATTTTCAGTTTTTTGGGTGAATAGAAATTGAAAAATGTCACCGACCTGTTAAAACCGCATCATTTCCTCTACCCTAAAAGAAGACGCAGATTCTTCATTATCATCCCCGGCAAGGCCAAATCAGTTATTATGTAGCGGCCCGAGAGACCATGCTGCTAAGCGTAAGTGCAAAAGCGGAGCCTTTAGTACCCACGAAACCAAAACAAAGCGTTAAACAAGTAACCGGGTTACTACATAGCCCTCCTCCTTTTGAGTGTCGTCCCTGGCGCCCCCTTTGGTCAATCTCCCACGTCGGTCATCAAAACACGGTGCTATGAGAAACTTACCCATGTACCAACTGCGCTAGTCATCAGACTTGCGGACAGCTCAGAGGAGATTTGACCACAACGGCACCCATCCCTCTCGGCAATTGCACGGAGTGTGCAGCTTCGTCCTTTCCGAGAACTCTATTGGGGGCAAGGGGAATGAGCCGGCCATCCCGTACGACCACTGAAAGTTATGCGAATACTGGCCTAAAAAAAGTCATTGAATAGAAGATGTGCCTTGAAATAGTTCTGTGGGGATACGGTTTGGCATTTGTTCCCAGCCATATCTCCCTATCTGGATCCGATACAAGTAGTAGAGAGGTGAAGGAGCTATCGGGTATTCACTTCATTGTTGACTTTGCACGGAAATTGTAGACAGCTCCGGATGGTTTTTGCAGCTATCTGGTAGCATATTCAAAAAGGAGGGCAGAAAGGGCACTTTTAGGTCCCTTCTATCCACTGTATAGGGGATCAGTCCGCATAAACCGTGATATAATTAATGTCCCAAATGTAGGGAAGATGGAATAAAATGGCTCGTAATGATGAATTTTTTAATCCGATTCTACATTTTTTCCCATCCACATTCCAATTTTGTGGGAGACCATTTCCATCCTGATTAAAGTTTATAAATTGAGGCGATGTTGAATGGGTGGATGCTATTAAATAGATAAATTTAGAAGTTTACTTGGCTGTTTTTAATTTGCCACAGAGGCTATAGAATTCATTGACCGAGTATACGAGATTTACGCGGTTGGGCAGGTGGAGATTTACCTCGTACAGCCCACGGATATGGCCCAGGTGCGAGAGCGATCGAGGGAGGACGAAGTGGAGGAGGAGGAGACGGAGGTCAAGGGGACGAATGCCTCTAATCCATTGGCTAAAGTTACTCCCCTCGAAGACGACGATGTTGAAGGCGATGATAAAGCCACTTTCCACAGGGAGGCCATTCTAGCGCATGAGGTGGATGAGGCTGCAGAGGACAAAGCAAGTGACGTTAAATTCAGCGGGCGGAACCAGAGCAACATGAAGTGGAATAAGAAAGGGGATCCCTCGGATCCTGGCGGCAGCGCGCAACAGCCTCTCGCCTCCTACGATGTGGGTTCATATTGCCTACTATTTAAACTTGCTCATGTAGTGTAATGCACGAATTATCACAGAAAAGCTCTGAGGCAAACTATTGTAAAAGCATTTTACTGACTTAGCGAATAGTTAAAAGGCTGCAGGCATCAAACCACCATGGAAACCAAATTGCTGAAAGTTGAATGCCTCCGAGGAATGGAGAATACAAGCCGACTTAGGAATGAAGACAAAAAGATGATCCCTCTTTGTCCCAACATTGACAGTGGATTTGTGCATTTGGATGAGAGTTCAAAATCCTGTACATTTGTTCAACCAATTACCCTACAGGAAGCACATTCTCTACGCTACTAGCTTTTCCCTTTTGAATAGGACTTCTTGTCCTTAGATAATACTAGCCATTCATTGTGTTCACAGCCGATTTGTTCAGATCCGAGATTGGGGTAATTGCCATGATTCCACATTCTTTTGTAAATCCAACTGGATGTCTAACTGAGGTAGTTGGCCAACGGAACCAGAATCTATGTTCTTCTAAGATGGAATTGTCTTCCCATTCTGGCACTACAGCATCCTAATTATGCCTGAAATTGTACCCGTTTTTGTTGTCAACACGCAGAAGCGCCGGGGAGCTAGTGACTTGGGCGGCTCAAGCAGAGTTCCATGCCACCAACGTGGTGGCCGACTCCGCAGAAGGCCACGCATTAACGCCTAACCTTAACTAATCTGCTACTTTAATAACCCCACTGTTGTAATGTATTTCAGAAGTTGCAGATAATCTGGGTGGTAATATTGGTTGGACTTTTGCAAAGTCCGTGTAATTCTTGGAGCATAAGCCAACAAGAACGCGACCAGAGCAAAGACACTAGCCAAATTTTTTTGTTAATGAGGGTATATTTCCAGCCAGTCACCTTGCACGCACACACATTTGTGATTTAAATGTATCATTCCATTCTTCTTCCACTTTTTCCTACCTTTTGCCCTTTGATGATGTTTTAATTCACGCTTAAGTGTATTATATTAGCGTTCTGGTATGCCTTCCCGAAATTACGTAACTTGCACCCCACAATTTGAGTGAAGGGGAAATCTTGCGTGATTTCACGTAAACTCAAATTATAGAGCATCCATCTAACTTTTTCGCCATTTTACTTCCTCTTGTAGCTGCTCATTGAACCGGAGTTGTTCATGCGATTGGCTCCCAGGACGAAGAAGGGAGCCAAGCCCTCCTGATCACTATCACCGCACGAATACACAGCAGTAATGTTTCCTTACGCCTTTTTCAGCATGGCAGAGAAATTTAAGATAATCTGTGAAATATATTTAAAGGGTGTTATAAAAATTTCCCGCAATTCTACATTTCTGTTGAAAAAAATGAAGGCAGAGGGTATGACATGCGACTGTTTCCATCTGACACGCCAATCACTACTGGTCTTTATCGAGAGGCTTATTAAGCCGTGGCGTAGTTTTGGGATACAAAAAGCGTGACGGAGGCACAAATTTCGTTTATGAACAGCTTGTAAAATGAGGAAGCCGTCGTGCTGGTACGACTAGCACAGAGATATCCAGATATCCGGTCGAGGCGTAAAGGACCTCGAAGATGCTCCATGAATACGGAATAGTAAAAACTGTAGAGATCCTAGAATGGCCAAATGTGACTAGTGGGCGTGCGTGCGCCCCGATTCATGCAAGTCCTAGTTGACGTCTAGGGCCCCGGCAGAAAAGTGAAAATGACGCTCAGATTTTATGTAATCGAAGTGGGAGGTTCCGAGATATTCAGCTCATGGTTATTATTTAATGCCACCTCTTTGGTTCGCTCACAAAACCCTTAGGAGGAAGCTTGCCTGCGCCAGTAGCGTGAGAAACCTCTACTGACAGCATTGGAAGAAAAACGTGGAAATCATTTGAAAGCCCAACGCGTATTTGTTAGCGCAGTAAATCGAAGGAAGCAACTAACTTAATGCTGAAGTACTAATGATCACCATACAGTTTATTAAACTTCAAACAGACGCTCCGTTTAAAATCAGCTATTTCAGAAATAAATACATAAATAGCGTTTTAGACATTCAAAGCAGCAATCGATATCCTATGGAAATCGTTCCATGGCAAATCACGTTATTGAAATCGTCCAAAAACCGGCGGTCTGTCGCGAACCTTGGCTTATCCTAATTAGTAGTGAGATCCATCCACTGAGATTGTGAAAGATCCTGTGGGCCGAAAGTTGTGTGGAAATTGCCACACGTGAGATAATAATGCTCCTTATAAAATATTCCCTTATCTGGTTTAATTAAACCAATTTTTCATTTCTTTGATGATTGGCGGATTTTGCACAAGTTGCGTGGACTCCTTCCTTTCTTTCGTATTTAAAAATTCACATAAAATTAAAACGTTTTTTTTCTTCGCCATTTCAGCTCAAAATTATAAGTGTGTGGAAAAAAGTTCTTCAAGGGGGGATACCCCATTCGCTACTTGATTATATGTTAATTTGGCGGTTGGAAGGGCTCAAAGTTTAAAGGATTTTCAATGCTCGGAAATGCCAGCCACATTTAATGCGCATTAGACAGGACCATAGATAATTCTACCAGGTGCTCTAGTATTCCGAGACCACACTAATACCACTGGTTTTCAAACTTCTCAGTGTAAGTATGGAAAAACCCCAAGAGTAACCCCAGTGTAAGAATTTTCCTGAAAGAATTATGAGAAAGACTGACATTCGGTGGTGAATGACCGAGCCACACCTCCTGCCCCTCTTGATCGTTGAGTGACGTTTGGTCTCTTTACCGTCAGCTTTCCTCAGGTAACACGGGCATCTCCCCCTGAAACGAAAACGAGCGCAGAATAAACGCTCCATCCTTCAAATCAATTAAATTTAATTAGTTCAAAATCAATTAATTTTATCGATCAACAACAGTTGGTCAGTCGGCACTTTTAATCGCTTTACTCAATCGTTAGTTAAAAAACCAGTCTCGTGTAAAACCCACCGAAAAACTGAAATTCTGCTAACAAGACTCATGGAGGAATTGAACAACTTTTTCGGTAGGAAACTCCCCTAGTGGCCATTCATGGCTGCTGAACTCCGGCTACAAAGTGAGCAAAAATAAATGCCAAATGCCGCATTCGATCACTAATCCAGATCACGCAAAACGCAGCGTCCAAGCTTTAGAAAGCATTGAATGGTAGAGCCACTGCAATTTAATACTAAAAGAGATTTCGTGACTTTCGGTCACGAATGAAAAGCCTCGTCAAACTAGAAAAACCTCTGATACTATTTTTCTCGCAACTTTAAAAATCAGTAAAAAAAGTCTATTCCTGAAAGTCTGAGCATTCATCTGTCACAAAAATTACCCACTCTGGCAGCATATTCAGAAGACAATGGCACTCGATCTAATGAGTTGAGAATAGGAACGCATGTTTATCAAAAAAATAATTGCACGGGCGATGAGTTTACCGAAGGAGATCGAAAAGGGGAACAAAAGAAGGAACCATTAACTCATTTCCCGCGAATGCTAAATACACGCGGACTCGCAGAAAGAGAAAGCGAAAGTTGACTGGGAGCACAATGCGCGGAGGAGGGTGGGAATGGGAAATTGAAACATGGGAGAAAAAGACAGAGACCGCTACTTTGTACAATCGCTGGTAAAACACGGCCGGATATGGATGGAGCAGGCGATCTCTGGAATGGCTCTTGCGATCTGGTGGAGGGATGTCATGGACTCTCAATTATTAACACTACCGAGGGGGCTGTTGGAGAGGGGAGTCGGTGCGGTTCCACCACCGCACCATCGGCTCAGCCAGAAAGATCATCAGAAGAAAGACCAGGAGGCAGACGTTCAGCACGATCGCAGAACCCCTGTGAGGCAAAGCAATAGGTATCAGTCCACACCGAATAGAGCAAATATTCATGCTATCCACAGGTCACGCACCGGTTGTTGGTGACAGTGGCACCGGCATTAAGGAAGCGAATAAGCATTTGAATGAGGGTGGTGACGAAGGCAACGAGAGAGACGACGAGGTCTGTCAGGGTGTTGGCAATCGATCGCAGCATCTGCGGCTGATCCCGATCCAGATTTGATAGACGTTCACACTTCTCCAGTATCATAACCTTAAGGGAGAAGCAAAGGGGGTAGGGAATAGCCTGACATTTACGATGTGGGGAGTTAAACCAAAGAGATAATTAAAATGTGCCTTAATTAGCATGTGCTAATTACTATCCAACCAGAGTGAGGCTTTGGTGAGTAAAATTCAAACAAACAATTTATAAGAAGCACGCTTTACGTCGTCTTCAGGTGGACAAAATTTGCAAAAAAGGAAACCGGTAGCAAAGAGAACAGGGAATACATTCACACCAGAACCCTTCCAAAAAAGATACGCATTCCTCTATTAATATAATCCATTTTAGTTGCTAAAACTCGCAAGCTCCACACCAATATGATTTTCCTATTAAAAAGCTGGGGCTGGTGAGGGAGGGAAGGAGGGGAAGGAGAAGACTTCTATCGCACCGCAGACATATCGTCACGCCACTACCAGCCAAGCATCTCATCCACCGAAGGTCCAAGGTGCCTGTGCTATTCACTGCGTTTCACGGGAGAGCTAATATTCGAAGAGAGTAAGAATTTCACTTCACAAAAGAAGACGCACCTTGTTGCTAAGTGTGGTAAACATGTCACGGAGGTCACGAGTCTCAGTGGCCAGTTGGTAGTTGAGGGGCTCAAGCGCGTGCTTCTGCTCGTTGCGTATTACGATGAGGTCCTGTTGGACATGCTGCCGCAACTTCTCTGCTGAGGCATCCAACTGCTCCAGTCGCGCCACCGCGTCCACTAACTTCTGGTTCTGCACCTCCTCTTTTGTCTGCATGTCTCGCTGTCAGGGCGTACACAAAGGGAAATAGAACTGTGTGTAAATAACAGCAACAATATGTTGGTAGAACTCTTTCAGTCTAGCCATCGAGCTATCATCAAAAGCTTTCTCAGACCTAGACCATTTTAGAAGTACTTTGAGCCTCTTCATTCAGCCGAAGATATCTTCGTTAATGTTCTTTCAATGCCAATTGTAATCCTCCTTCTAACCCCATAAAAGGCATCAGGATCTATGGGATTAAATTCAGTCAAGCCGATTTGCAAACCTTAGACAAATGATAATGAGTTTAGCAATAATAGAATAAGTAAGGGATGTAGGCGACTGAGAGATGGTCATTTAAATTGTATATGTAACTACCATGCGGGTCTTTGAAGGCTCTTTTAGCCCCACTCAGACACCCTGTGTTCATGCTCCATTGACAGCACGGCAGATAACTCCGCTTTCGGTGGGCCGGCCACCACGCCGAAGTGTCAAAAGGCATGCTTTATGGACTATTAAATATGCAGTGACCCATAAAAAAAGGACAGTCTCGCCGATCCAAATTTTTGCAGTAATTTATGACCACGACGTAAGGACTCGATATCCCTCCTCACGCTGCTTTGAGGCAAATTTTCCTACAGAAGATAAATGGCAGAACATTGTCTGCACGCCTTGTTGCCTAATTAAGCGGTCGGGAGTACTTAAAGTTGTTTTCGAGCATTTAAACCAAGACTGCAGAAACCCAAACGTTTTTGATTCACTCAAGAAAAGGTTTTGCATTTTTCGGATTTCAAATATCTTTGAAGCTGAAGTACCCCGCAAGTTATGGAAAACTGCAGCATGAAATACTGAGGAATCCAGTTGAAGGTGATTTAAAAGGCAGATCGTTAGAGGCATGCTGCTGCGAGATTTTAATTAATTCTTTCGAAGTTCGCATCATCCACCCACTCTGCGATTTAATTCTCCTATTATGCTTTTATACACCCTCTCCATGACAAGTGAAAACGCTTGCTTCTCGCTGAATGTGTCGATTTAAGCATTCAACCTGACAAAGAAAAACACCCATTTACGCCTAGAAGTAGAATAGGGAATTTGCAAACTCCACACAAACACAGCTACCAAAAAAGGGAACTCAGATGGCACATGCGAGCCATCAACGCAGTAGACCACTTTCCCTAAAACATGTGGCTTTAAAAAGAACGGGCGAAAAGTTCTCCTGACAGTTGAGGCAGAAACACCATTTTCACAATGACAGGTTGGAATGAGCACAATCCCGTGAGCAAAAGAAACATGAAACTAAAACCATTGTTTAAAGTCCTCCCGCCTTAAAAAGGTCACCACCCTTTATCAGTGGGTTTCAATAGTAAAGCATTCTTCGAAAGCCATTATATAAATGAATCAGACTGCCCATTTAACTTCGAAAACAAGGTGCAGCCATTCGCCAGACTGCTCTTCTAAGAGTGTGTGCACTAACCTTACTGGTGATTAAAGCGGCTGGTGCAAGTTGGAATTGAATTTACAATATTTCCTGAAGCCCTTAATTTACTAGAAGACTGAGTTTATTTTTCACGCTTTTCAGAGGTAAACTCATGAACAAGAGCGGTAATACATGGCTTAAAATAGGGGGAGGGCACTGATTGTGATCTAAACACGCCAAAAAACTGTTCAGATTTAAAATAGCGGGTCAACACTTGTAATTCTTTAAAGTTATACAAGTCTCCTGCCATCTGCCCCATTTGGATTGTCTGCGTGCTAGGCTGCTTGTTGTCATTTTCCTTCAAAATAATCTGTGACATTTTTATAGTCGTTTTATCTGAACATAAAAATTTTGAGGTACAGTCAACGCCAAGTGAGCTAAAGTTCTTTGGACAGAGGAATAATGAAGACATTAGCACTAAAATTTGAAGAGAGCTGGACAAATCTGAGTGCTGGAAAATGCTAAAACTGGTCATGTGGAATGATCTACAATCAAAAGGAATAAAAATGGCTCATTCCAGTTGTTTATTTTTTCTTAAAAAAATTCATAGCAGTAGTTCATGTTTTTCGCGGCCAGAAGAAATTCGTAATGAGTGGCTTCAGTTAACAACAGCCGAGTAAAAGATTTGTGGCGGACGAAAGACTATAGACAAACTAGTCACACACGTCAATGAAGGCCTTGATACTCGCATTCATATGAAAGACACAAACCTCAACCACGGTGCTAGATCACAGGGTAAGTCTCTCAGTGGAGAAATTAGCACTCCAAACTCACCCGCAGAGCTTCAACTTCCACCGTGATGGAGTTGACAATGTTGCGCGTCTCTGTGAGATCCAGTCTCATAATACCAAGCTCCTCGCGGATCTCCGAAGTGAGTTTCTGTTGTGCCTCAGCATGCGCCTCGAGGAGGGTCTGAATCCTCTGATGAAGCATCACCAGAGCCATCGCCACGTTGTAGACAGACGGAGGTGAGGAAGAGGTGGGAGGAGAAAGCTGCAGACCACCACTGCCACTACTTCCTGCTAGTCCCATTCCCATCGTCGACGGCCCGTTTGTTGCAGCAGCGGCGGCACCGTTGCCCCCTGAGTGGATGGAGGCGTTACCCGAGGAGATGACAAGAGGGTTGCCGAGACTTCCCCTCTGTAAACCGAAAAGAGCGGCGCCGGAGCCCGCGCTGCCCCCACAGAGGACGTCGACTACATCGAAGACTTTGGAGATGGTGGTGTTGGCAGCAGATGGTTCTTTCGCGTGCTGGCCAGACGACTGCGGTGGAGGAGGATGGGGAGGCGGGGAGGAAGAGGAACCGACCGCTCCACTCTTCTCGCTACCCGCTCCAGAGGTAGCCCCCGACTCACCCATCTGATGTTGATGATGAGACCGTTGATGCTGCTGTTGTTGTTGTTGTTGTGAGAGGCGAGAGGAGACGGAGCCTGTGTGACTCTTCTTCGTGCCACTGGCGTTCATCTCCTAAAATGGCAAATAATACAATGGAACAATTTACCCATCAAACGTGCTGTTATCACGCTCTTTGAGAAAAACCAAAAGCATAGAAACAACAGCTAATGGCTACGAGATTGTGTGCAGGTACCACTTCCTCTCCTGAAACCGCATCAACGCGTAATGACAAATGTGCCTTAAGGCGTGTCGAAACAAGAACCAGCTGAGAATGTATGCGCTTTCTGATTGATGATGAAAAGCATGCCAACAATGACGAAACCCTGCAATTTCGACAACGTGTCCAAAAACCGGTAGAATGAACATACCCTTCTTGTCGCGTGACATCGACAGAGTGGCCGGGTTATAAAGTAAATGGTGGGAGAAGGCGTGGAAACGTAAACATCAGGGTTATTTATTCATGACCGCTGTTCGCGGCCTAAAAACACGTTGATACATGAATTCGGAATAACAAGGGAAGGATATAAAAATCCCATTAAAGCTACTAATTCCGAGGATTTTTTTAACGGACCCAAATAAGTTGAGGATTTGACCCACTTAGGACACAAATGCTAAAAATAGAAGCAAAAAGCGTGACCTTTCATTTTATAGTACAAGTAAAATATCAAAATCGGCCCATATCTTCAAAGCACCAAGATAATGGGGAAGCAGATTAGCTGGACACAAAGAACTGAAATTCACTGCGAGAACTCCTTCAGTGGTGCAATAAAGGCGACAAAACTTTGCTTTTAAACCAGTATCATAAATTTGCAAGGCGTCTAAACAGAGTTCCAGTGAGTGGGTGACTGCCAGGACATTTCTTCGAACATCACGACATTTGAGTAAACACAAGGCCGAGAAGTGTATGGCAATGTGAAGGACATAACTGTGAGCCTTGTTATGGGGCGGTTGACTGAAAACCAAGATAAAACGACTACTTTCTGCAAATTAATGAGATTGTGATTCAAAACAGGCAAATCCGGTATCCCTACTACTGTTCTCATGGCGCAAATCACATACAAATCGATCTTAGGGAAAAAGGCAAAAGTATGGGTAACCTACATAGGTAAGGGAATACGTAATTGGAACCGCATGAGTCCACAGAAAGTAGCGTTACTTCTAGCAAAAAGAAACACAAAGGAAACAGTTAACAACCAAGGACGTAACCAGGAGCTCACCCAATGTGGGGGATGGTCGGTGCCACTGCTGCCCCGTCTATTGGATTTCTTCCATTTGGAAGACGTGGATGCACCGGCGCTAAGGAAAAGAGGGTACGTTTAGCTACCTTTATTCAAATATGCCATAAGTCCTAGTTACAAAAAGGCTAACAAGTACCTATTCAATTCCTTTGCTCAAGGGACTTATGGTCGATGTAATCCCGTCAATTCTGCGTACGCTCTACTAGCAGCGAAACCACTTCCACCCTTTCCATCTACTGTCCAGTGATGCAAGCTGAGCTGTTCCGATTCTTCCAAACCCAGATGGCGGAAAACGGAGCTGTACCATGAAGTCACTTATTCTTGATGCTTACACCCAGCAGCCATCCTCCTTAGTTCTAATCCTCCGATTCAATTAACAGATGAGTACAGGAATTTTTACGCCGAGGTTCTTTCAACTCCAGTAAATCTTTAACTTCCTGCTTAACACGTCCAAGGACACGAATTCCGTAAACTGCCAAGGGTCCCAATAAACCCATCATCTTGGCCCAGAATTGTAGTTGATTCAAATAAGAAAAGTGAAGAAACATTAAGTTGGAAAAAATGTTTAACCGGGAGTTTTTCCACTGGAATGAAAACCGTGGACTGCACGAATAGCCATTAATACTGCATAAAAAAAAACATTTGGTACATGAAGGTAGGTTAGCTTTGATTAAATGAAGAATACGTACTTCGGGCTCATTGCCCAAGCATTCAGTGTGGAGGGGACCTTCTTGGGTTTCGAGGAGGTATCGTCTGTTGGAGAAAAAAGCAAAAAGTACAATGCACACTCACGTGGACAGGTGGAAGATCATGCTAGTTGGCAGGAATACATAAAATTATGCGAATGAGCGATTTGTCCTGTGGAAAAAAACTTGACGTGATCAAGGCTTTACTGATAGGTAAATGCCAGGTAAATGGCAGTGCCGATGACACGAACAAGGAGAACCTTGAAGGCCTAGAACACTAATCTCATGCCCAATCTGAAAGGCCTCCTTCAGTGATGAATGAGAGAGCGGTAAAGATCAAAGGAAGAAGTTTTGCTACTTCAAACAGCAACACAGCGGAGGAGGAGGAGGAGGAGGAGACCAGTTGTGATAATCGCAATGACGGAAAATGGAGGGAGGTAATAAAAGAAAACAGATGCAGCCCATCATTGATACATACCTTAATTCACAACGATGCGAGGGTTATTCTGCACTCATTCTCCATATGGTAAAATTACGGTGAGTCCACGTCAATTAAACGTGCTACACTGTTAGTTGATAACTGAAAGGTTGACATATCAGGCTTGATAGCATAAACAGGGACAAAGTGGAGGATTCGTAGAAGACAAATCTCATTCCCATTTTATCAAATCGTACAAATGAACACATTATTGGAGGCTAAAAAAGGCAGGAAACGACAAAAGCGACTACCCGGGGTTGATGGCTAGTACAAAAGAGGAAAGGGCCCAATTCTGACAACCACTACGATGAGGAAAAGGACAGAAAAGTGATAGGAAAGTGTAAGGATCTTTGAACATCACCTAGAAGGAGAGAAGGATGGCGCATGATTTCAACAGCAGCTTCGAAATTGGGAATAACATTTTAAACACTTTAATTTGCAACACATCGAAGGAGACCACTTTGAGTGATCGCGTTGTTGTAAACTACAAAGGTATTGATAAAGAAGATCGAGAGCGAATAAAAACTTCAGCTCACTGGGAGGCGAGGGATATTTCACATTTACTTAAGAATCGGGGATGACATTCCCAAATATCCCGCACAAGCAGTGTGAAGGAGGCCAGTTATGAAATTACCCTGTCCTAATCGTTAGTCATGGATGGCGGAAAAACTTACTGCTGCAAAATATAGTCTTCAAGAATATAAACAAGGATAGACGGAAAAAATGAATAAACTATAGAAGAAAAGTTGCAACGTTCATAACTCAGGAAAGTGAGAAGCAGTTTTCAAGCCAAATAGAAGGATGAGAAACGGCCACTCAAACCGAAGGCATAACGGCTACAGCAGTTGGAGTGACAAAAAGCAATGTAGCAGACAGAGGACAAACGACAAAAACTTACTGAGAGTGGTAAATGCGGTTGTCGTGCGGAGGTGCTCCTCGCTGGCGGACTTCTTAAGGGTCGGACGGGAAGACGCGTGGGGTACCTCGGATTTCCGACCAAAAGGCTTTGTGAAGAGCCTTCAAGGCAAGGCAAATCAAAGGTAGAAGTGTGGACTGGGAATCACACGACCACTTCCTCTCTCCGACCGGTTCGTAGCTTGTGATATTATCGAGAGTTCTCTACTCCGGCCAGTCAGGAAATGAGACCCATGGGCATGCAAAGTAGCCCCCAGTCTACTACACACCTGTGCTTGGCAGGGTCGGTGGAAATGTGTGGATTCCTGTCCACAAGACAGAGTGATGCCAAATCACACGTGTGTGGATAAGAGGCCGGTGTGCCTGTGACTACATTTGGCAATAGAGTTGTACACTGAAAAAGTTCAAGGGCCCAGCTTATTTGTTTCAACGTCACCTTTATTCAACCTGATTAATTAGCCACTGGAAGGCGGTTAATCAAGCCTACGCACCATTTACTGGCACAACATTGTAGCAGGGACAAAGCTCACAAATGGACAGGATTACCTACCAACGCAGTAGATACCCGTAAACAAGAATAAAATCAAACCTCAGTAACTAGTTTATTTTGGACGGGACAAATCAGTTTATAATGAACATAGCCCCGGTAAAGTACCGCATTCAAAATAAAGGCTTAGACTAGCTCACCATTACATGATGGGAATAGTCACCAATTACTTGACCGCTTCACCAAACCCATAAGGTAGATAACTACTCTTGAAACGTGAAGCCTTCCCGATCTAGAAAAATTCGCCATAACATCTTTGTTCTTGTATGATGAGCAATTTCAAAAGACCCAACTACGACGATGATAGCGGTGACCAACGAAAATGGCACTATAAATGATATTTGTCAAATTTAACACTATATATGCCAGTTCAGGCAAACACCTGGCAGGTTTTACGCTACCGGATGTTGTCTATGCCTCCAGCCCCCAAGGCTTCAGCACAAAGCTGCCCAAGTAGACGCGGCTGCTAAGAGTGCATAAAAAGAGGGAAAGAAGACCTTGATGAAGCGAATGTTGGTATACCAAACGAATGACAAAAGAGCTCCTCTCAAACGCAGAGCGTGATAAGCCAATCCGATTGCTATCAAATTGAAGCTATCTTCGTTCCTGTAACACAGGAGCACAGTAGAACGCAAAACGGACCCCACCTAGTCGGAAAGCATTTACTTTTCCGGCCTCCCAGTTCTTTGACACGGACACTACATCGGTACTAGATGCAGCATGGATTAAGCATACCCGATCATGAAAGACAGAAGTGGAAGAGCCTTACTCGAAGCCATGCTTAAAAGCGCGTCGAGCAGAGATGAGGGGCTTCTTGGCGGAAGAAGAACGGTGTTTCGACGCTTGACTCGTTGTCGTCGATGAGGACTGCGGCTGTTGAGGCGGTCCAGAGTCATCAAGGAAGAAATGGGTGGGTAAGAACTGATCCGAGCACCCACTAACAGGGCGGTTGCCGGGAACACCCAGAGAGGAGGAGGAGGGATGCATTGGCGTGATGCGCCTCGCAGTCATGGCGGCGATGGTCGACTCTAAGGTCGCAGTCGGTGGTTGTAACACCGGCAGGGTGTGCGACCTCAACGGTTTAGAAGAGGGAGGAGGCGAAGATGCTTCCACCTTGGTGCTGTTGTCTGTGGGAGAACTAGAGCCCGGTTTTGAAGGAAGAGTGGAAGAGGGGAGATGCTCTTGCCGCCTTTTCGCCTCTTGCTGCTGATGACGATGATCTGGCATGGATTGTGGATCTCCCATTGGGGTGAGAGCAGTCGCAGGAGTCAGGGGGACTGAAGTATCTGAGGCCGATAGAAGATAATCGATTTGCCACCTTTATTTATCTAGGTCACCGACCTATCTACTGATAAATTATGCACTCAAAACGTCGCATTAAACTAAAAAGACCCGAAAGCAAGAATTTTCGCATCGCATAATGTCTCTATTAGAAAGTCGTAGAGGAAAGTTCCTCTGAGAAAATGCGGGCACACAGGTGATAAAAAACTGCCTTCTTTGTTTTACTGCAGGATTAAATGTTATAGTACACTTTTAAACAGCCACAACCGTTTAATGGCCTCAGGAAGGGTAGAGGGGAAAAGATGTGTGAGGAAAATTTAACTCATACTTCCCGCAGTTATGAACAATAAGACACTTGGTGCAGAGGCGCGTTGCTAGGCTTTACTCGCTCGTATGTTCTAACATCGCTATGGGAGTTTGTATGCAAATTTTCAAGGGAATAGATTAAACACGTGTAGCTAAGGGCGAGATTTCCACGCCACTGTGAAAGCCACATTGCTTTACTACAAAGTGCGCTACAATGGCAATCATGAGTTGTTGTAGGTTAGTTCTCACGCCACAAAAAAGAGCTCATAACGCAATTTGGGGTGCGTTGAATAAGCATGAAATTCAAATATGAAGAGCCGCTTAAAGTACTGCTGGATGAGTACCATGGTTTACTACCAGGATCCGACTACACAACGATCCCTCAATATGCTGCTTTTAGTCAAATGTTTTTACGTAAGGGGATTGGTACATGTAACACCTGTGCTGCAGAACGCCATCCTACCCCTACTATTACATCCGGAATGAGTTTCTCCCTAGAGTTGTTTGCTTAACGATAACATGGTGTTTAGAGGGCTTATCCACCACTAATGAATTTTTTGGAGGACTTGCGACTACCGAAGCAGAAGACAACGCTGAAAACAATAAGGGACTATATGGTACATTAGCACGCTTTAAAATTTTATGCAACTATATAAGCTTTTCCAGTCACGTGACATGGCTACATTTACGTCATCTAAACTAGCAGTCTTCCAATACCTTTACACCTTGATAAGGCCCCCCTCCCAGGACCAGAAAACTTATAACGCCTTCAGAGATAAACTTTAAGAGGTGTAAGAGTATGGTGCGCAAAGTTAATCAACAGACCTGTATCCTCGACGGTCGTAAGGGTGGAGGATCGCTTGGAGGACTTAGTGGGGCGAGAGGGCGTAGTGGTGGCGGTGACGGAGGCGGCAGAGGAGGATGAGAGGACCTTGTTGGCTCGCCAATCGGTTTTGTTCGTATGCTGGCCCTCCAGATGAGATATGACCAGACGTTTCTCCGAGCGAAGCGCTTCTAGCTCGGCCTGGCGTTGATTTAACTCAGCTTTGCGCCGCTTGTATATTCGCTTAATCTCACCCACCGACAATCCGCCTTCTTCGCCTCCACCTCCCAACGCAACGTCATCGCCAGCAGGCACCAGCATCTGCTCCAGGAACCAATCGTTGAGCTCTGTTTACACAAAAAAAGGTTGGAAATGAGCGGTGCAAGAAAAGCCGATTTTGCGCAGAGTTGAAAAGCAGTGTTCACAAAATGAAGATAGATAGGTAACTCGAGATGCCGGAATGGACGAAACCGATACCAATTGGATGGGCGGTGAAACTGAATAATTCGTAATTTAAAGAGCAAATGGATGGCAAACGAGAATAAGTGTTTAGAGGTTGATCAATCGGGATAGCAGGTAATATAAGGTTGGTTATGAAACTTGACTGACTGTATAAAACTAAAGTTCCATGTCAATAATAAGTTGAAAAACCCTACAAAAAATAAGAAATTGATAAACTTGCAGCGCTTAGAAGTAGAACCAACATTATTGGGACAGGTTTGCACACAGGTAGTGAAAAAACAGAAGTACACAAGGTTGCTATTCGAAATCAACCACACCAATGCCCGGTTGTGTATTTTAACAGATTAGGCGTCGAATTATTGAGACAAACAGTTTTGAAAAATTACTGCGCCCGCAAGAACGGTAGGTATCATTACGACTGACTGTAGGAGTACCTTTTATAAGTGTAACTATTGCTTGCTTTTGAATCCACGAACTCGGGGACACCATGAACCAGCGGGAGAACGCTGTTAGCATAGTGTAGAAGTCGACAGGTTAGGAACATACTACTTGGGACAAGGCATGATTCATTAACCTCACCTTAGGAATCAACCGTTAGATAAACCTTTAAATGGACCAAAAATCTAGGGTTCAAACCAACAGAAATTAGCATGATGAAGGATGGAAGCTGTCGGGACTAGCCTTGAAACCATTTTTTAAAGAACGGAAGCCCCTTTTCACGAGGCAAGGCGATGTAACGACCACCAGCATAAAAGTCTGCTCAACGGTTTGACCAACATCACCAGCTCTTCTATGACGGATGCAATCGATGGAAGCGCGCTAGGCGTCACGGGATTTCCTTCGCTATCGGTAAATCTACGCAGAATAAAACAGTGCTTTGACAGCTATTTCAGGGTAAAAACTGCTGTCTCCACGTCTTTTACAGGATTGAGAGGATCAGGGAAAAAAACGGCCCAGCTCCGTCTCAGGGAGTTGCGCCTCCAAATTCCCTGTTACCCTGGCTGGAATTTGATCTATAGGATTGTGGTCTAAGAATGCAAAATCTAACTTTGTCTTCGATTTAGGCGAAGATGGACTGGCGAATCTGAAGACCAGAAATCAGTTTGCAACAAGGTTATTAAAGCCAAAACGGAAGTGTGCAATGCTGCTTCTACCCCCCCAAAAAAGAGCGGACAATTTAACTAAATGGGAAATATGCTTTTGGAATAAACCAAGCACAAGAAAAAAGAATCGCATGATCGTTTACTGTCAACGTCGCCAGCGCACCCACAGAAATGCAACTGTAGGGCGAGGAAACCTTCATAACGCTTTTCCCCAAAAACCAAATTGCGTGTTGTTTAATTAAAGTTGCATTTTGGGTTCAAAAGAAGCGTCATTCGCAACACGATACGATACAATTCAGCGGCCAGAATTGACACGAGCAAAGTGGTTCGGACTCACGCAAAAAGCCGATGCTTCGGCAGGATAGGTATACGTAGGGAAGGATTTTCACTAAGCAACTTGTAGCCAAATTTTGTTGTATTTATGGCTAGAGGAAAATAAAAATGAAATCCTTCACTGGTAAATGCACTACTACCATCCACCTAGAGGGCGTCAGAAAGTATGCTTCCTCAAGGTGTGGGGAAAAACGGGGCTCCAAGTGATTCATGATCGACAAATTGGGTCATATTTTGCTCCAGAGAAGGCAGCGGAAACTAGGCGCGAGCTTTAAAGGTACAAGGCGCGCTTGCATTTGATTTATGACTCAGGAAGGCCTGCATCCTGGCTACTTCGAATAACTTTTGGAAGGGAAGTTGGGATTTTACGAGACTGAAAGTCTCTAGGCCAAGGAACTCGCCTCATAGTAGTAAAAGCGCAAAACAAATGACGACGAATCGAAGTCTTTAGAGTCATTCTACCTCCAAAGGGAAAAGCCGATAGGAGCCGATTACAAATCTTGGATATCCAACTCTTTACTATTTGGCTATGCCATGATAGATAATTTAATATTTTCATTTTATTGTACATCTGTTCATGGCTCCATCAAAGTCAGCTCATATGGGCGCTGTGAATGCATGATTCACAAGTCCACATCACCTTTGTGAAAAAGTAAAAAAAAAGATTTTCTTCCCAACTGGCAGGTCAAATGACGTTTTGGAGTGAGAAAATGAGTGATTGTGAATCAAAAAACGTTAGCATAGACGATGGCGTCACTTTGTATGAGAGAAGTCGATACCCAAGTCTGCCCAAAAATGAGAAAGCTCAGCAAAATGGAAAAGTGGCTAGCAAGTCCACGGCGCTATTAAAGTGTTAATTCCCCTTCTCTCAAAAAAATCAACAAGTGTTGAATTCATGCATTGAATTCATTCAATCTAAGGTAAGCAGTTCCATTGACCCTCCTAGGTTCAAGGTCGCAAAGGCAAATCGGTCGACATAGCCCAGGCCTTCTGGTGCTCTAGTAAGACACAGGTTGTCATTTTCCTGTCCGTTCGACTTCTGCTCAAAAACCGCAAGGAATGCAATGCCCATTCTTAGGTCAAGATTATCATGCTACATATACTTTGCCGTTTGACACCTAACCCAGCTATTAGTGACGCATGATTCGGTGCAACCAGCTATCGTCAACAGCCGGTGAACCCACGCGTAAACCATAAGTGAAGCTAAATTCGAGCTGTATGTGAAGACGCAAGTTGTTTTGATCAATCACACATAAGGCGTGATTATGCACTCTCTAATTCTCGATACAAAGAGGTTATCATCTAGCTAAAACTGGCAATGGCTTAGGTGTTCAGACACAGCTGCTCGAGTGACAGTTAAATCGCTATAAAATTACGTACACAAAACCAATGACAAAAGCAATAAACCTGGGAATGAATTGGGCACTTCTTTTGCGTGATGCCAAGGTAACTAAGTGTAAACTGTGACCTTTCACTCCCCCCCTTCTGTCTACGTGCATGCGCCGCAATGACCCTGAACTTTTGCGTCTCAGATGCAGCACTGACATACCAGACATACTAAAGTTGTCGGCTGGGGCGAAGTAAACAACTTGACCATTTTTTCGTTTGACAGCTATTATTTCCTATGAACACAACAGGCCGCGTGATTCTGAAATGTTGAAAAGCAATGGTTACGTGACGTAGTACTTGTCATGATGGCAAGTTTAAAATGAAAGCTTTATATTTGCCTTATTGCTCAAGAACTTCCATCCAAAAGACACATTATGAACACCGATTTAACAGTAAGCACCATCAACCTCCGACACTGTGGAAAGTGAGCCAAGTGATTTGGAAGGGATCGTTTGATGGTAGAGACAAAGAAATAGTCCCACACTAAATAGGTGGACTCGGGTTAGCTAAACGAAAAGGTTCATGGAAAGAAGAGAAACATGTGGTCATCTTCTTCTTAATTCGGTCGTTTGATTAATTGAAATGTAAGAAATGATGAAAGAAGACTTCTTATTTTAGACTAAACAATCACAAACACGCCTGAAGGTCTCTGAAAAGTTGATGTGTTAACGAAGTATAAGGAGATAATAATGTTTTTAGACCGGAAGTAGTGGTATGAGGAAGCGAGGTAAGGAAAAAGAAAAAGTCGTATTGGAACGGCAAAAAATAAGATACCGAAGATAGAATCAAAACGATCATTATACTTCTTTTCCCGTGGAGCATCCGGGATGATTAATCGGGTCAAGTTACGTGTTGCAAACACTTCAAATGCAAAGTATAGTAAAGTTGAGTCCATTATCTACAGTTGGCTTAGCTAGACAGATAACACATAAGACTTGACACTGATGCACAACGTCTAATAGACTCACAGGAGGAGAGCTTTTGTTCCCATTGTCTATGAGCTTCTCAACAATTTGGTGCTTTAATGAAGATGGAACCAAATGATAAAAATAAGGTACGAAATAAGCAGTTGGATCCGCGATATAAGTGGGGCAATTGTTACAGAGCTCGCGTTGTAGACCACCCCAATACTGGATGAATGGAAGCTATCTAACAATGTAACTTCAAATTGAAGGATTTAAAAGCGGAGCCTACTAAAGCATCACATCGAAAATGGATGGGTCATTTCCGTTCCCTCGCATGAACACGTCCAGCCAGCTGACGGATTAGCGATTGGAAATGCCAAAAACATCTGAAGGTAAAAAACAGTATGGTCGCACAAACTGTGAACTATGGCATCAACGCCATAATTCAGATGACCGTAATAAGGCTCCTCCTCAGTACGAGCCGTTCAAAAAGCTGATGAAATAAAACCTATATATGTTTCAACTTCCATCGTGATATATATTGACGGGTTCTTTCCACTTCCCGACCTGAGACCTTGCAAGGAATCCAATGGCCTGGGGAATGAGCCCAACTCGCGGGTGTTCCAGGAATGGGACACACCAAAATGATCACCTGAAATGACTCACTGCAAACATGCATGAAACTGAAATAAGGGAGTCAACAATACTTTTTAAACGACAAACCGATGGCTAAGAATAAAATGAGATAGGCGCAATGAAACAGCACACTGAGGTTATTAAAAATTCCGTCTTTAGAAAGCTCTTAATGCACGGGATGAGTAGTAATATCGCCATATTGTCAGTTAAATCCAAAATTATGCAGGCCAAAAGTTGCCGGGCATTTGATTCGTCATCAAACGACACAAAAATACAAATATTGATAAAGGTGAACCAACCAGATTTGCAGGACTCAACATTCCGAATATCGGCTTCCAATCGTTGTTCCTCCTTCCTCAAGCGTCCAATCTGTACTTCGTCCTTCACCACGGAAGCCTTTGTGGGAGCAAGCGCGGGTGGCACGTCCGTCCCCGATTCCTCCACCGTTACTTCCGCCTCCGCCGTCTTCGAGTCCTCTGACGCAGTTCTCTCGGTACCTCCGACATCGGAAGTAGGAGGAGGCGGAGCAGGTTGAGACGATTGAGCGGAGGACTCCGCAGCCAACTGCACCATGGACAACCAGTGTTCATCCCGAGCAGTACAATCCGCCGTCATGATCAGCATTTGAGCGGGCAGAGAAGCGGTAGAGGGGCGAAATCGTCGACGCGATTTTTTCCGTATCGGTGAGAAGAGACGTTCAAGACCCGAGCGCACGGTGGAGGAGATGCCACGCGATGCACGGTGATTTAGGTTGTATTCGAAGGCGAGACCGAGGCCCATTGGGTCGCCAACAGTAGCGGCAACAGTAGGAAGACGGGAGAAAATACCAAAAGGGGGATCGTTAACGAGCGCCTTAACAAACATAGGGTCGGGTGGAGTCATCCCCGCAAAAAGAACAGAGAGCAGGTGGCGCACGAAATCGGAGGAGGATGTTGTGGCGGCGGTAGCGGCAGCAGCAGAGAAGGCGAGCTCGTGACTACTAAGGGGTACATTGGAGTCGCCGATGGAGGAAAGATTTTCCCCATAGATGTCCACATCGACATTGGGGTTCGAGGTGCGCCTTACCAGCCCGGCCACACCTCCATCGGATAGACTGCGCTGGTGCCTTAACACCCCTGCCTTCATGACTGAAGATGTGTCGTCAGTACGAAGGCGGCGATGACGCCACGCGGAGGTTGCGAAGGCGCGATTAACTGACGCACCAATTAGCAGCGAGAAATTCGCTGAGCTGAATTTTTATTGGCTCTTGAGGTTACGCGTACACGCGCATCGCTCAACGCGAATCAGCGATTTTTAGTCGCGAAAGGGTTGTGCGGCCCAAAGGCTCGAACAAGACCGCCTGGTTCATGGATAAGCTAAGCCGACTTGTCATGGAGACACAACTCCGCCAAGACTGCCAACAAGACGCTGAGCAGCTACGGCTCGTAAAACGATTTCGTACACCCAGTATTGAAGAGTCGGTCTAAAACATTTTAGTTTTATTTAGGGATAAATTTAAAGAATGTTTAACACCAAAACACCAGCCATGTTTGAACGTTCCTTGAATACGCTCACGCACCCGAGAGCCGATGTTCCCAACTTCCCATTCACACGCAATATCGAGAGAATAAACACAAGTTTTAAAGCAACCTCAAAACGTTGGGTATTTAAGATCCAGTAAGGCCAAGTTACTCTAGCCCAAAACCTTGCATAACTACACTGGTAATGCTCGCAAACCTATCGACATAAGGCGCAACAAATGCGCCTTTTGGAAACGCCTAGTAATTCCGCACAAGTAATATTGTAAATGAAATCTACTCATTCATATAAGTAGGCATTAAATTACATTAGTATTTGAAAACCAAAAGGTGGGTGGCACCCAACACTCGAAGGATACGAAAGACCTCTCTAGAAGCGATTGGATGCTAAAATTTTTGCTTAAAATGAAATATTGACGAAGCCGCGGGGTGATTCCTTTGAATTCGTCCAAAATATAGTGTTTTTATGACAATGTTGAGATTAAGATTCAATCCTCTAAAACACTTAAAGCAGACGACGAAGAGTAATTTTAGCCCCTATCCAACCCTTCACAATCCCCTGATATATTAATTTTCGAGAAAACAGGTCACCGTTGCAAAAAAATCCCGACAAGACGACGAGTACGTTCACTTGAGGTTAACCTTCTTAGTGTGGAAGCAGGTAAATCTGTCAAAAACAATTCAAATGGTACAATTTTACTCTAAGGAATTAATGCGTCAGTGAAAATGATAAAACTAAGAACACGGGTGCTTCGTACAAGACCGTCTAGTCAAACATCGTGGCAAACCGCACAACTGCTTAATAGTTTTAAGTAGTAATGCATCACCTGAGGGTTGATTGCCCGACATCTGATCAAAAGTGGAAATTAAAGTTCGAATGCAGCAAAACAACAGAGGCAATAAGTGGGACCAGGACCGAAAGGCGACCACTCACTTGCAGCCAGCTCTCTCTTCCCCACTAGTCGCGTTGTAAGTGCCGCCGGAAAAATTACACAAGGGAGTGCCATTAAAACGAGGAGTGACATTCCCTAATCATCACTACTTCTTAAAATAATCAAGTTGCGCCCAATCGAGAAGGGCTGGAAAGTCCTGAATTAGTTGTAAAAATGGCGGCCGATTTTCCAAGTAAATAGAAGACAAGAGTGTCGTAACATTATCAGGTTAATATTGCCTATACGTTAGTGCTAATTCAAGATAACTGACCGAAAAGCTGAAGTATTTGTTGATATCAGCTAAAATAATTAATGAAAAACGCTACATCACAGTAAGTGGAAGCCAAACGTAAAGTGAATACTGAAGCGGTGGCACAGCAGTCGTTGCGCCCAACCGTTGTTAGGGGTAAAACAGCCTCCTTCGACTTGGATGCTGGAAAAAGCACAAGTAACACTAACGGCTCTTCGCTGAAATCTGAAAATAAAAAACCAGACGATATCTTAGTAAGGCAAACACCGTAGGTACTTTCATCTGTCCTTCGTTCTCTAGAGCAGAAACCTGAAGGTCCGTTAGCAGGACAGGAGCTCTGACAAAGTTCACGTGGTGAATAGCTACCACCCTGTTAAGGAACTGAAACAGGCGTGCTAAATACGACAGAAAGCGGGAATGGTGCATGTATCCGAAAATGCCGGGTCAAAAGGAATGCAGGTGGGGAGTTGGGTTAATTTATGCCACGCACTTTACACCGACGTATCTGGCGTTTGGAAGATGCAGAAAAAAAACGTCTAACAGCACCAGCCTACCGAATAAAAATGCTTTTTTGAATACGGGATCGTTCTCAGCGCATTACCCGATTTCTGGAAATTGCTGTGATGAAGTCATTCTGAGGTCGGAGGTTTGATTTACCAATAAATCACTACAGGTGGTGCAAAGATAAGGCACAACTAGGAAATAGTACGAATGACGGTAGTAAGTTTTTTTTTTCAGCTACTGCGGAAACGATTGTGACCTTTGAACGCCGTCGAGAGTATAAATAGATTTTTCAAACTATGGTGGTCCTGACTGCGTATTTACAACTGACAAATGACACAACTGGTAAGACTTGGTGCGTAGAGACTGAGAAGAATTCAGTAAAATGAAGTGCGCATGAACACAAGCTCTCCTCTTTTAAGTCGGGAAAGGTACTTGCCTGCGTGGTCGAAGAAGTACCATCCTGTTCAAGGACTTCTTCACGCAGCCCCGCGTGGAAAGTGGAGACTCTGAAAGGAGGAAGGAGGGATGAAGAACACTTTAGTGTACTTCTACGCGGACGGCTAGAGAGAGCAGTGAGGCTCGTAGAAAAAGTCCAGAAGATATAAGTACGTGACTGAGCGCACGTACCTGTGTGTATACGGATCTGATCAGTTTAATTTTGCGCCAGGCAATCAGATGGCTGACGGTGTGGTAGCAGTTAAACGCGAAATCGGTCACATGGCCATCAATCGCGAGTTCATAAATACGCCTGGGGTGTGATAACTTAAGGTTATTAACAATGAGATTTACAACTGTCCTAAGAATCCGGTGCTGAACGGTGCGTCGGCAGGCCTACATTCCAAACTCACCTTTGATAATTTAAGGATGGCTTTTGCAAAACAATGGGATAATTAGTCAAGGTTTGTGCCGCTCTTTCTCGAACGTGAGCATTTGCTGGGGAATCACTGCAAATCGGACCGATAACCAGAAGCATACACCAGTATTGTCGAAAAAACCTGCCGCCATTATGCAGGTACACCCACTTACATGCCTACATTCCAATGCACGTAAAGAAGTGGCATTGCAATTCGCAGTACGCGCGTACCCTCTGGTTTCCTCTCTTTCTACTCAACGGAGTGGAAGTTTTAAGCATTCTTCTTCTTCTCACATTTCACCCACACCTACCCACCTCTTTTCCCAGCCTCTTTTGGCCTTTGACACCTTCACTACCAGCGTCACATACGTGTATGACGCACTGGTTTTTCGCTTACGTCAACTTGGCAGAGTTACAGAGATGTGACAATGCCTTCTTTATTCACTTATGGCTACAACTCACTGTACTGAAACGTGTAATACGCTCCCAGTCTGTGTCCGTTTTTGAGTAGCACTTGAAGGAGTTGAAGTATTTAATGGCAGCTCACGTCACACTAGAGCACTAAGGCATCTAGGCTACAGCGTTGGATTTTCATCTGAGATCCTGTCAGTAAGTGTAGGTGATTAAATTGTTGACACTCGGTGCGGTCATTCGCCCATCGAGTGCACAACTGAAAACACCATCCTATCACTGACAGCTCAAATACAAATACAAGCACACTACCTCATCCTCCTCATCAAACTCTCGAGCCGCGTCATATACAGAAGTGTAAACAAACCAAGGGTTTAAAAAGTTGTCAGCCCCCATGTTTACGCGACGATGCAAGCACCTAGCGGCGGCGTCAGCGTGAGAAGTGATGTATGCGGCCGATGCGTAAATTTACACCAGCATTCAATATCTCTAATAGACCGATCTCTTTCACTAACGCATTTAGGTACAGAGGCTGTTTAATTTGTGAGGTTTTGGTCTCCTTCTTGGTGGCATGACTTCCTGTCTATGCCTGTAGTCTTGGAACGATTCTATGCGCTAATCACAAATCTGTCATGATGCATGCCAGTAATCGTCAAACGAGCCAAGTCATGCAGACACTGAAACCATAAGAAATATAGGCAAACTGTGTATTTAAAAAATTGGCAACTTTGAAAGCTCATCACTCCACCTTGATTTACCGGTGACATCATCACATAGGAAAAATAAACACCTTCGCACCAGAAGTAACAGTCATCACCTACTTCTCCTTGGCAGCGTGCAACAACAACATTTAAAAGGCAGAGAAAAAGATTTCATGTGATTTTTTTCATTCTTGATGGGGTAAAACGAGAATATCTTCACAAGTGATAACGGCGAGAGACTTTAGCATTTCCTTTTACTGCAAAACTACAAGCATGCTTGATAACCCGAGGGAAAGTGCGTGGAGATGGCGATTTCCACCCACAAAATAAGTGATAAAAATCACAAAAGTCCTGCTCGTCTCAGTTTTCACTACGCCACTGATTGTCGTGGGAAAGGGGATAGTGAGTAGACATGCTGAAGGCGTGGAGAAAACTCCCCAAGCATAGCAATGAGTTTACACGCTTCACACAAAGAGGAGGCTCTCATACCAAAAGCCGCGATGTGTATTTTTGGAACTCGAAGCCCAACAAATTTGTTCTTGACCGTTCCATGACTGGTAGAGAAGGTTGTCAAAGGTAGACGTAAACCAAACCCACGATCAGATCAGCATGAAACAGACTAACAAACAATAAACGCACACAAACACGTCCACCAACATTGCATGGCTACGGACCTACTGGGGGTCGCATACACGCACAAACACACACATGAAGCATAGTCCTTTGAGGATGAGGCGTTGCGCCCTTTGGGAGTGAGTGCTGGGCAATGAGTAGGCCATTTGGGGACAACCAATACCATGTTCGTTCATGTGACTTTGGTCCACTAGTCAGTAAAAAATCCAACTACATAGCGGGCTTTTACAGCATAGAAGAAAGGCCAACAAATTGATGGACTTTAAAGACCTCTTTTCATCTATGCATGTATACGGGTGGGACACATTGGCATGGATTCACACCGGTTGATGTAAATGTAGGCGATTTACCGTTTTATTTACCTTAAACAAGGCCATAACTGATTCGGTTCATTTGAAAGTGTCAATAGTAGTACATGATTCTCTATTAACAAAAAGTAGAGGACCTTCATAAAGGCGATGCATCCACCACCATTTGCTGATTCATCACCAGCAGCAAATTATTTATCTGAACTACTTCTAGGAAGTACCTCCTGCTGCCGCACACCGCATCCTCGCCAAATGCTACTGAGTAAATGTTACAAGAAGATTCTGCCGCTTTGGAAATAGGTTAACTCCGGCTCGCAAAGCAGACAGCTCCAAATTACATCTACCAAGGTCCACTGACATTTTGTATATGGGGGTTCAAAATAAGAGGTAGGTATCAGTACCGTACCGATTGAGGTACGTCTACCTGTGCATGCATAGCAACATTTAGATGGATTAATTTGTAGAAAGAGGTGAGAGATATCTATAATGATCTATGCAAGTGAATAAAACAATATTGAGGTGCTCCGCTTTCCAGATTCGCACTTTGTTGATTGGAGAGGCTAGTCGTGATTCCAAGGGATTTAAGTGCAATTTAAGTGGAAAAGTACACTCATTCCCTGGAAAAAGGAGCAAAACAACCGACGATTCTTGAAAAGATTACACCTAGAAGAGAGACCTTTTTGCGTCAGCCCATTCACCAAAAAGATTAAGATGTAGTACGGCAGTTAAGGCAAGTCGTGTGAAACAACTGATTAAATGCAAGTAGACGACAGAATAAGAGTACACGAGTACCAAGAAAAGAGGAGGGGAGAAAGAGTATGAATTGCGATATTATGATAAAGTCAAACGCCAGGATGGATGTTTCGATGGTAATGGTACCGCTGCTGCTATCTTTATACCAGTCCAGCGTAATGCGTGTTAGCGTGCGTGGACTCTGCACCAATTTGGCACGAAGCCAATGGAGGTGAAATTAATTCACATAATACATGGAGGGGGGGGGGACGATCTCACAGACAGACCAGTCCCGCCAGTGCAGAGGCGAACAGAAGCCTCACCTCATCAAGAGTAGGGGGTGGGGAAGTGCCTGCGATCTATCGCTCTCGCATACACCAAGACGTGCGTAGATGACGTGAACTGACAATACAGACAAAAGTACAAGTTGAGGGCATTCAGTCGGTCCCTCGAAAAAAAAACCACCAGAGGGAATAAGGGAATATTCCGGAGGGAGAGAGACCTACCACATAACATCATGAGACCGGAAACAGCTGAAGATGGTGGTGGCGGGTAGAACAAGATAAAACGACTATTCACCTCACTCACACATGTGCCTTTACGATGCCCAAAGAAGTGACCTTGATTTGACCCGTATGTCGTATATATGTGTGATTGTGAATGTGTGCACGAGCATGACTTCTGGCTCAGCACACACATTTACGCAAAGGTACAAGTACTGATGAGGCCAGATGTGAAATGGTTGTCAGAAAGAATACTGTGAGATTAACGAACCTTCGCACACTTGCCCTCGACTTGGAATTCTGAAGGAACAACCGACGGGATTAACGAACAGTCGCAATAATTTCTTTAGTGATGGAGGAAGTAACCAAATTTCTGCAACCTCAGCCCCAATCAACGTTATTTCACCAGTTATTCACCGACCAAGGCAAGTAGGTATTGAGTCTGAAGGAATCAATTCAAGATTCGTGCAAAATTCCCATTTACAACAGCAATTAAGGCTGTGATAAGAAATGAAAAGCGAAATTTGCAAGTGGGGCCGGAAAAAAAGTGCCAAAAGAGACTAGGATGTTTCCTTTTACAACCTTTCCCACGCCTTCCGTTTGCAGATGAGGATGTTAATGTGCATCGCCTGCAAAGCAAGCCTCACACCTTTACCTCGATGTTTTCAGCCAACACTTTTTCGGTTACCGCTAACAAGAGGTCTCCTTCATGCCATTCAGGAATCATTCGTAAGTGTAAAGCTGCTTAACACGGCACCATAATATGTGATGTCAGTGGGATGTTCAATGAATCCCAGTTACTGTGTCTGAGGACCCATTGAGGGATGCTACTTTTGGACACCTCCGAAAGAAGCTCCTCGACACACTTTCGCCAATGATATTTTACGGTCGCTTGAGAAAATCCTCCAGATCTGGTATCAAAATTCATCTTAAGGCATTAACAGTAAAATCGGCAATAAGGAGAGGAAGTTCCAAGTCAAACTTTGGCACCTAGGAATTAAGATACTACTTACAGTTACCGCATGAAAAGTGTTTCTGCATCAAAAAGCATAAGCACCCTTATCGTGTGTCCGATGTTTAAAGAATGGTGGTGTTCCATACACCGATCCGTATGCAAGGAAGCCAGGTTTCACCAACTTAAAAATAACCCCAAAGCACTTCCACTGACGATTCTTCCCACTTTCAGAATGTGCGTTCGTTTAAACTAAGTCTTTTTATGACTTCCAATGTAATGACATCAATCAACACACGAACAGGAATCAGGAGGAGGAAATTCCAGGCAACACTGTATTACCTAAGACCTGGAATCATAATCCCAATTGTCTACTAGCCATTTACCCAGTTTCGTACTCGTCATTAGATGATCAAATAAGTAATTTTCCACTCCCTCTGATTAGAGACGAGCGCGTTATCTTTCATCTCCATCAAATTGGACTGCTCAATCAAATTTGAAGTTATTTTCAAAAGATCCCTCTGAAGCTGACAATAATTATTTTGGCGTGTCGTCAGATGCCATAAAATGCAAACCAGAAATGCCATGAAAAGCAAAACCAAAGCGATTTGGGAAAGGTACTCGCCACGCTACGCATCCGCCATGTACCACGTGAGCAAAGAACGGGATGAGGGCAAGAACAAGTTGGCGAAAATAACCCGAAAGCGCGACTGCTGTCGTTGCCTCTGCTGTCCTAGATTGCATTATTTTTCTTCTTTCTACTTACGAGCACGAGCAACACATCCCATCGCCTTAGAGCAAAATAGCATTACTGATGCAAAAAGGAACATATCCCAACAGGAGGGAATGAGGTTTACGGCAAACAGATCACAGCACTACCTTTGGCCGGGTGACGAAGAGGAGTTCGGAGAGGAGAAGGCGGAGGCCGATTGAGAGGAAGATGACATGTGTGGGAAGCAAGGGCCTCTTAGAGGTCGCCTGTCATCGGACGGATTGTGGGGATAGTGATGGATATGGTATCGGTGGTGGGAAGAGGAACCCGCTTGACGGTAGGTGGGTTGCTGCTCTTCCAAGGCGACGTTTTTGCCTCCGCTTGACATACCTTTAAAGAGGCTTCGGAGAACTGGAATAAAAGATGGACATATGTCAGTGGCACGGGTGTATCAATCAAGCAACGTATTTGCGCAACGGGATAGGTACCAGTTCAGTAAATATGAAATGTTTAATTTTGATTTGAAAGTTTACCCATAATGGGATCAAACAAAGATACGCAAACCTAAGATACGATCGACGATGCATTTTACCCTCTTGATAACAAGTTGTTCATGCGTGTTGACAGCCAAGAAACCGAAAAATTATGAATTTGGAAGGCACCTTATACCGAGAGTTGAAGACATTCAAATATTTTTTGTGGGAAGTCTGGAAATGTGGTTTTGTGTTAAGTATAACGGGTACGATGAGTGATAGGCTGTTTGCAAGCAGCATGCTATCAAAAGAGTGTCTTCAAAGATAATTGTTTGGGTTCGATTGCCTCTTTATTCCCTCATTTCGTTCGCCATATTACAACAGACCTTCGCAATTGATCTTGTCTCACTACGGTTCTAGTGAGAAATGTCAGCAGGACCATCAAACTTACGCTGCTGAAAGGAATCCATCACCAAATCCAGATGACTTCTCACCTCCATACTTTAAGGCAATCTCTTTTTACAGCTGCCCAGATCCGGAACATTTCCAACTTTCTTCATTTTTGATGGTTAAATAACGTCCCAAAGGTGACGAAACAGGTGTTCCATTATCACCAGATCATGTGCAGTTCGAGGTGGAGGAACCGCTTTCTTCTACTACAACTGCTTCCAGATTATCACTGTCCACCACTCTGGTTTCCTGCATGAAGGATGCATTTACTTAGCTGATGTCACCTCTGAGAATAATAATTTAAACCTAAACAATCATTACTCAAAAAACTTTGTTCTTTACCATGCTGCATTTGCATCAAAAGAGAAAGTAGTGCGATTATAGTTTCAATTCATTGTCGCACAAAAAACCGACAGAAAAGTACTACACAAAGGCTAATCACACATTAGAACATGCGGTTAAGATCGTGACATTGGTGCAACTTTACAATATAACAGCCAAGCAGAACGCCAATGATTATCAACTTTTCAACTAAGATTACTAGACATTGCGCAATTAATGAACTTAAACAACGATAACTTTAAGCGTAGGAATGGCAAATAGCCAAAACACTATGTATGCATGTGTAGGACAAAGTGATAAGGAAGAAAAGAGGCGAAAGGGAATGATTTGGATACAGAACCACACAAAAAACACGCTTGTTTCACACTTAGTTGGAATGGCACTTTTAAATTAGGCTCCACGAGATCCCTGTTTTGTAAAATATCAGATAATTGCACATGTGCACATTGGGCTAAAAAAGTACGTCTCAAATACACCGAATGGCACGCTCACTACCAAAGTAATTACGGCCCGAAAGTTTCACCATTCTAGTGTGG